GACGCGTTTACACACAGAATCTTTTACACAGAGAAGCGTTTACACAGAGAATTTTACACAGTGAAATCTTTACACAGGCGCGCTTTCACACAGAGAAGCTTTCACACACAGAAGCTTTTACACAAAGAAGTCTTTACACAAAGTGGTTTTTACACACAGCAACTTTTACACGCAAAAGCTTTTACACAGAGAAGCCTTCAGCCAGAGGAGCTTATACACACAAAAGCGTTTACACACAGCAAGCTTTTACACACACAGGGGCTTTTACACAAAGAAGTCCTTACACAAAGGAGCTTTTTACACACAGAAGGTTTTACACAGAGAAGTCTTTACCCTAAGGAGCTTTTGCACACAAACGTCTAGGAGCTTTTTCACACAAAACTTTTTACACGAAGAAGGCCTGACAGAGAGGGTTTTTACACACAGACGTGTTTGCACACAGAAGCTTTTTTTACACAGAGAAGCCTTTACACAGAGGAGCTTTTACACACAAAAGCATTTACACACACAGGGGCTTTTACACAGAGAAGTCTTTACACAAAGGAGCTTTTTACACACAGAAGGTTTTACACAGAGAAGTCTTTACTCCAAGGAGCTTTTGCACACAAACGTCTAGGAGCCTTTACACACAGAAGCTGTTACACAAAGAAGTCTTTACACAGATATATAGCTTTCACACACAGACGCGTTTACACACAGAGGCTTTTACACAGAGAAGCCTTTACACTTTACACAGAGAGTTTTTACACACCGAAGCTTTTACACACAGTGAAATCTTTACACAGACATTTCACACAGAGAAGCTTTCACACATAGAAGCTTTTACACAAAGAAGTCTTTACACAAAGTGGTTTTTACACACAGAAACTTTTACACACAAAAGCTTTTACACAGAGAAGTCTTTGCACAGAGGCGTCTTGACATGAAGTCACAAGTTGAAATTGGCAGCAGTTCTTCGGGAAAAACCCTTGGCAGGAGCTTTCGGGCACTCACTTGCTCCCCAAAAAAGCCGTCTATTTCCAACAAAGTTCCTGTTCTTTTTTTTTTTCAAAAAACGTAAGGAATATATTTCTGAAGCAGGTCCCCATCCAAAAGCTTTCCAGCCCCCACACTGCGATGAAATGGAGGGCCGAGAAATCCGGCGGAGCCGACGAGGGGCGTTAGCCCATAAATCATCTATAGAATCTATAGAAAAGACTCTGTGTGAAGGATCAATCTCTCCAATCCCCTGGCCATTCGTTTGCCACCGTAAAAAACCAACCTTTCCGGCAAGGCCATTGGCTCAAACGCTGAAGCACAAGCGCAACCATGGCCGTTGGTGATTTCACAAAACATGTTTGTGACTTTGCAGGTTCCTTGGGCAAAAACAATCGATAATGACTCTAATCGATGGATATGGGCTCGACAACCAGAGGAAGGCCTCAAGACGGCTGTCTGTGTTTTCTGTTTGGAATGCTGATGGATCGTTCAGTTGGAATGTTGATGAAACAGGGCTATTGTAGCCTCCCAATGGTGCGGTTTTCGGAGGATTCCTGAGTTGAATCTGATCGAGGGATCACCATCTCCCCCTAGCTACTCCCACTGGCATATACCAGCATGACGAGCTTTGCACTAATTCGTCAAATTGGGAAATCAGCACCAAAGTCCCTTCAAGATGGCTTTCTCTTCTTTTGTTGGTAAATTGGCAACCTTATTTCATGTGGTTTTTCGAACCTAATGTTCATTTTTTCAAAAAAAATGAATTGGAGTAAACAAACATATCAACAAACAATTTTCAGACACAGTCTCTTGGTTCTTCTGCCGATTTCAGGGAAGCTGGTGTGATTTTCTTCCGACGTCACCGCCATGGCGGCCTGGGGGCCCTGGGGCATCGATCAGATCATGTTTTATTTTCTTGGGATAAAACCTTAAACTAATCGCTGGATATTTTGATTATTTGATATTATTTGTACCTGAGGTAAACTTGGAGTTTGGCGCCAGTGGTACCAGAGAGGTGGTCCATGGCAGATGGAATATGGGGGTTTCCAGAAAATGGGGGTACCCCGAATGGATGGTTTCTGGAAAATACCAAGAAAAATTGATGATTTGGGGGTAGCCCTGATGGGATGGGTCAAAACTTAAGACTCAAGGGACCACAGAATTTAGGATTCATGTCTAGTATTGACCATCTAATTATTGGGATGCCCGAGCTTGACCCAAAGCCGTATGGAAATACCAGTAGTAACTTGCAACCTATGGATAGTTACTATTGATGATCAAATTTATAGGTATACGGTATATGTACTGTATATACTGTTACTAATGCAGGGAATACATGGATTTTTCAAAGGGAACTATAGGGGCATGACAATGCAAATAGGATGAAATGGGATAGAACCAACCAACCAATTATCACCAACCTGATATGACTTGATCCATTTACCCTCCAGTAAACCAACAGTTTGCTATGGAAGCCATGGCGCATAGATGATTTACCAGATGGTAGGGAAATTTACAATCCATAAAACATATGGTGACATAAAGGAAGCATAACCACTATATATATATATACCCTCGTGGCAATTTCCACTCTAGAACTGGTGAACCTGTGCATAGTTTAAACGAAATTCTTAATGTATTGTTTAAAATTGATGTCAGGCTAGTCATTTTATTGTTGGGGGGTTGGGCTAAGCATTTTATTGTAAAGGTAAATCCTGATGATTTTTAACATGTTAAATCATGTTAAAATTCCATTCTCATTTTATTGCAAAAAAAATGTTTGCTTGGAGCATTTTATTGCAGAATGGAACCAGTGTTTTTCCAGGATCTTTTTATATCGATTCTATTGGGCATGTCATTTTAGATCAGCAAACTTTAGGGAATTTGAAGGAATTCTCGGGAATTTTACGGAATATTAAGGAATTTTAAAGGAATTATGAGGAATATTAAGGAATTTTAAAGGAATTATAAGGACATTTAAGGAATTTAGAGAGTTTTAAGCATTTTTGAGGAATCTTAGAGGAATTTTCAGGAATTTAAAGGATTTTGACGGAATTTGAAGGATTTTTAAGGATCTTTAATGTTTTTAATAAAATTTAAAGGATATTTCAGGATTTTTAAGGAGTTTTTTTGAATTTTAAGGAATTTAAAAGGATTTTTAAGGAATTTTAAGGAATTGCCACGAAAAAATGCTAAATATTTGGGCACCTTCACTCTAAAATACCCCTATCTAAAATGGATTTCCTGACCTCTTTTTAAAGATGCGTTTCTGAGGGTTTTCAAAATTGGATGAAATTGGATGATGTTGGATGCACGTTCAAGCATGAATTTGGTGGCAAGGCATTTTATTGCAGAGCCAGTTTTCATTGTTTTTGTGCATTTTAAAGCCTGAGGCCTATGCACAAAAGTTAGACCGCTCTAAAACTCCTGCACAGCTTCACATAATGAATTGGCACCCCGATCTATATATATATACTGTATTATTTATGAACATTGGAGATATCCCAAATTACAAGTTATGGCGAGATCAACCAGTGGATTTGCGGTTATTTGTCGACTAACCCATGTCCATTATCTACCTATATATATATATACATATACATACATATCTAATATCTATATATTTGATAGTGACATTTTGCATGGAGAAAAGGGCATTTGAGTCCCATAGACGATTGTGATTTAAAGGCCACCAAAATGAGATTTAATAGGATTTCGTTTATACTATAGACTATAGACATGATGTTTTAGTATGTGGATTGAATGACTATTTTCATGGGGATAGTGCGAGACAGGGGTTTCCCATGGTTGCCCTAAGACTTCTTCCATACGGCAGTAATCAAATGGCGTCCACAATCCATGGCTATTGGCCGCCACTTCCTTGTGTATTTGTTGTGCTGTGGATGCTCAGTGATGGCCTGAAAGTGTTTGAAACATAGCAGTCAATAGACATAATATAATATGTATATATATATATATACATATTGTATTCATTAGTGCGAATGCATATAGAAATGCTTAAATGAGTTCTAGTGCATTGCACATTAATGTCGTTGGAGATCAAAGTAGCCTTTCACGGGTCACGGGGTAGACAATTTTGGATTTTCTTCCGTCATTCATCTATGTGGAGTGCACAGTTTCTGCACCAGAGGCATCCCCATAGAAACCAATCATGGTTGACAGGTACTCTACTGATCTTTGTCGTGGAGGCGCAACATTCTTTGGGTCAGTTGTTTGAAGTTATCCTTGGGATGTGTTCAAAATCTTCAACATTTTTTTGGTTTGTCTATTTGAGTTTGGAGGCTATCCCTTATATGTTCGTCATGTCTTGTATATTTCACTTCTGAAGAAACTGCAGTTAGCTGCAGACAGCTCGGCGCCAAGCTTAGGGCAAACATCTGAAAAGAAAAGAAAGGGGTGGGTTTTGGTGTTCGGTTTTCGGATTTTTGGAACAGTTTTTAATGTTTGGAGATCTAATAGCCATTGGTCCATTCATATTCCTAGTATTTCCTACTGTATATGGACGAAATATCCAAACTCATTCTTTCAGGTACAACCCCCTCGCCCCCAAAGTTCAGTACCAATGTAACCTGAAGTGCGTTAGCCCCAATGGACGTAAGAAATCAAACCCCTAACATCACTTTTTTTAACATGCGCGCTGAAACATTGAGATTTGGGGGTGCGGGGGTTCAACATAGTGTGTGTTGCAGGGTTTGAACATTTTGTCCATCTACTGTATGATATGATCTGATATTATATGATTCATATGATCTGATATGATATAATCTGATCTGATCTGTTCTGATATGATACGATATGATATGCTATGATAGTCTATGATATGACATGTGATGTACAACAACCAATGTAAACTATATGAGCGATAACATGTATAGTCCACAATACAAGATATATTGTAGAAAACACTGTGTGATACATGATTTTTGATACATGATATACGACGTATGATATGTATATAGTGTATGCATACGTATACGTATATTACTGTATACATACATATTATACATATATAATATTCCATATACATATCATTTAGAAGGCTGTTTACAGCAAGACTTTTCATTCCGCTTACTTTCACGAAATTGTCGTCCATGATTGCCCGACCTGGTTCAAGCACAAAGAAAGAGATTGAAATTTATCTCCAGTGCAGATGGGGGGCCATGCTGAAGAAACAGTGGGAAGAACCCGTGGCAAACGTAATTCAGAACGAAGTCCAGCTCGAAATCGGAGGAGTGGATCTCGACAGAGGAAGCCACGACGATCTCAAAGCAGGACCGCAGACAGGAAACGCGAGCGTTCAAAACCGGAAGCACAGTACGGTTTCGACCCCCAAAAAAATAAGACCAAGAAGAATGCACTCAACAACTTCCTGAGGTCCTTGGCTCTGTTTAAGCATGATTTCTATGTGATCTCCTCCAAAAAACAAAGAATGAATTTTGACTTGGGATTCCAAATTGGATGAATATTTAAAAGACCTACAGAGATATTTGGATCCCAAACTGCCCGTGCACTAGTCGCTGAGGCGCCTTGTCCGACCAAAACCAAACGAGCCTGCTTCAGCGAGCTTCAAGACCCTGGAGGTTGAAGGTGGGTGGCAAAGCACAATGACACTAGACAGCCGTTGTTGTGCGAAGATTTGGCCAAAGGAAGGTCCCACCAAGTGCTTCGTTGGTGAGATTTGCGGAGCCAAGAATGAGGCAGAGGAGTCTGCAATGGAGAAATTCTGGCAGGATCCAGATGTGCGGAAGACAGCCGCAACCCTTCCACCTTCAAACCGGCAGAAGGACAGAATCAGGTCGGTGGCTCGCTACAAAGATAAACAGAGAGCCAACAATCAGCTGCGGCACCATGCTCGCCTGGAACAGAGACGCGCAGAAAGCGGGCTGAGATGAACTAATTGAACCAATCGAACTAGGCGAACTTGTTTCACCGCGCCGGCTGCGGCCAGGCTTTCGGTCTGATCAAATCCATGGGCGGTTTTGGTCACGCAAAAGATCAATCAACAGTCGCAATCTTGCAACCTTTTGCTGGTGCAGTGGAGAATTAGATGAGTAAGTGCATGTAAGTCTGAGAAAACAACCATTAGATTGCCTGTATCTTCCATGACAGGTTTGCAACACCTTTGTAGAAGGACTCTGGGTTCTGAATGGAATCCATCAGTTCTACATTGAATTGGACATATTTTTGGAGGGACTTTGGTTTCCGAGTGGAATCCATCAGTCTCCCAAAGCGCGGCGGGGCAATACTGTGCGCCTGGTGGAGGGGGAGAGATGAAATCATCCAATCTGGGAATATCGTGGATTTTGTATGATTTTGTTGGTGGGTTAGGGTTGATTTATTTTGGGTGGATGCAGCTGATGGAACCAGGGGACTTTCGGAAAGATTTGGGGCACATGACCATTAACATCATTAGCTATAGATATTATCTAGGTAAGGAGAACATTCACTCATCCCAATCTATTTTGGCTTGGTTGGTAAAACACTGAAATATAACAGCAACAAATCAGAAAACTTAATGATCATCAATTCGATGTTCATCCCTGAAATATTGGGACAAGAGGTTTTGATCAATACCCATATGACAACTACGGTGAATGTTTGAATGATTTTTTGGGAGGCACACAAGATCCAGCATGGCCCCATGGTTTTGGGAAGTTTGTTCGCTCAGGAAGATTCCCACGCGACTACAGCCTGGCTTTTGATCGGCAAAAAGGGGATACATTTTCACCTTGCCGGCTGACACTGGTTACATATCAAGATTCTGGTGAAGCAAATTGCACAATTTGGATCAATTTGACAATGCTTAGGGACAGATTCTGTTTCAAAGTTACGAACTTGTGGTGGCGCAGTTTGGGCAAGGTGATTTTCGCAGCACTCGGCACTCAAAAATCTTCCCAACACAGAAACAACTAGCAAAAACATTCCGATTAGCATCAGTGTATATCAGCCTTAGCACACTCTGATTAGCATCAGTGTATATCAGCCTTAGCATCATGAACACATCAATCAAATGTCATTCATCACTGATGATCAATCTTTGGAACTATTACATACTCTTACCATCATCAAAAATTATGAATCACTGTTTCTTGCCCGGGACGCATCTGAAAGACGACTGGTCTTCCCGGCCGCGGCTGCTTGCGTCGGGATGCCTTGGTGGTCCAGTTCCCCTGCACCAGGAGCGCAACCACTTCAACTGGAAAGCCCCTCGTCTGTGACGCGGAAATCTTCCTCATCTGTGACGCGGGCGCGTTTCCTCAACTGTGACGCGGTCCCTCGGTTGTGACGCGAGGTGGGGTTTTGCGTGGCAGGCGTGGCACTTTGTGCCATCGATGGCCTCCTTGTGTGGCGCGTGTTCGGCCTGGTGACATCGACTTTGCATTTCTGTGGTTTTCCCAAAGCGGGCTTGCCCAGCTGTTCTGCTCCCTTTTCCCGTGGCTCTGCTTCTGTGCTCCTTTCTCCGTCTGGTGCTCCGTTTTGCCCGCTCAGCTGCCCAAGTCCATCAAAACGGACCTTCCTAGCTCGTCTGCTCTTCATCTGCTTAGCTGTGCTTTCTCTCTCTGGTACTCCGTTTTGTCCGCTGAGCGGCCCAAATCCTTCAAAACGGACCGCCCCAGCTTCCACTCTTGGTCTGCTCGCCTGCGCTCCTTGCTCTGTCGGGTGGTCCGTTTTGGCCTCTTACTGTAGCCGCCCAAATCCTTCAAAACGGACCTCCCCAGCTCTTCCACGGATTATAACGTCCATGTTCCTGTACACACACAGGCACGGCAACCTCATCACACGAGAGCTGGCGGTGGGTCTCTTTTCCTTTCTCTCCCTGGTGCTCCATTTTGTCCGCTGAGCGGATCAAATGCTCCAAAGAGGACCTCGCCAGGTTTGCTTGGCTGTGCTCCTTGCGCTCCCTCCGGTGGCTCGCTTGGCTGTGCTCCTTGCTCTCCCTCTGGTGGTCCGTTTTGGCCGTTCAGCAGCCCAAATCCTCCAAAACGGACCTCGCCAGCTTGGTCTGCTTGGCTGTGCTCCTTGCTCTCCCTCTGGTGGGCCGTTTTGGCCTCTCAGCAGCCCAAATCTTTCAAAACGGACCTTGCTCTCCCTCTGGTGTTCCGTTTGAGCCGCTCAGCAGCCCAAATCCTTCAAAACGGACCTGCCCAACTCTTCCACTAGCTGTGGGTGCAGGGCAGGGTCGAACCTTCAATCTTCAGGTTAAGGGCCTTTGCCCTCTGCCGACTCAGCTACACATCCCTGGCAGGAAATGATCTGAAAATTTTGCCAGAAAACCGGTATATCCAGACAGGATCTCACAGAAAGCAACCGCCGCAAGCAGACAGCCAGGAAAAGAGAGAGCAGACACAGGTACAACCTCTGTGTCCAGTGAGGCCGGTGAAAAAGTTGAAGGTCTCTGTCCCTGTCTCTCCCTGGTGCTCCGTTTTGTCCGCTGAGCGGCCCAAATCCTCGAAAACGGACCTCGCCAGCTTGGTCTGCTGGGCTGTGCTCCTTGCTCCCCCTCTGGTGGTCCGTTTTGGCCGCTCAGCAGCCCAAATCTTCCAAAACGGACCTCCCCTGCTCTTCCAACCTCATCGGTCTCTGTCCCTTTCTCTCCCTGGTGCTCCGTTTTGTCCGCAGAACGGCCCAAATCCTCCAAAACGGACCTCGCCAGCTCGGTCTGCTTGGCTGTGGTCCGTTTTGGCCGCTCAGCAGCCCAAATCCTCCAAAACGGACCTCGCCAGCTTGGTCTGTTTGGCTGTGCTCCTTGCTCTCGCTCTGGTGGTCCGTTTTGGCCGCTCAGCAGCCCAAATCCTTCAAAACGGACTTCGCCAGCTTGGTTTGCTTGGCTGTGTTCCTTGCTCTCCCTCTGGTGGTCCGTTTTGGCCGCTCAGCAGCCCAAATCCTTCAAAACGGACTTCCCCAACTCTTCCACGAGCTGTGGGTGCAGGGCAGGGTCAAACCCTCGATCTTCAGGTTAAGGGCCTTGCCCTCTGCCGACTGAGCTAGACATCCCTGGCATACAGGAAATGATCTGAAAATTTTGGCAGAAAACCGGTATATCCAGACAGGATCTCACAGAAAGCAACCGCCACAAGCAGACAGCCAGGAAAAGAGAGAGCAGACACAGGTACAACCTCTGTGTCCAGTGGGGCCGGTGAAAAAGTCGAAGGTCTCTGTTTCTGTCTCTCCCCCCTTTGTTCGTTTTGTCCGCTGAGCGGCCCAAATCCTCCAAAACGGACCTCGCCAGCTTGGTCTGCTTGGCTGCGTCAAAACGGACCTCCCCTGCTCTTCAAACCTCATCGGTCTCTGTCCCTTTCTCTCCCTGGTGCTCCGTTTTTTCCGCTGAGCGGCCCAAATCCTCCAAAACGGACCTCGCCAGCTCGGTCTGCTTGGTTGTGCTCCTTGCTCTCCCTCTGGTGGTCCGTTTTGGCCGCTCAGCAGCCCAAATCCTCCAAAACGGACCCCGCCATGTTGGTCAGCTTGGCTGTGCTCCTTGCTCTCCCGCTGGTCGTCCGTTTTGGCCGCTCAGCAGCCCAAATCCTCCAAAATGGACCTCCTCTCTGCTCTTGATCTGCTTTCCTGTGTTTGCTCTCCCGCTGGTGTTCCGTTTTGACCGTTAGCAGCCCGAATCCATCAGAGCGGACCTCCCTACCTCATCTGCGCTTGATATGCTTAGCTGTGCTCCTTGCTCTTTCTGGCGGTCCGTTTTGGCCGCTCAGCGGCCCAAACCCATCAAAACGGGCCTCCCCAGCTCTTCTGCTGTTGTCTATCTATCTATCTAACTATCTATCTAACTATCTAACTATCTATCTATCTATCTACCTATCTATCTATCTATCTATCTATCTTTCATTTTCTGTATGCCAGGGATGTCTAGCTCAGTCGGTAGAGGGAAAGGCCCTTAATCTGAAGATTGAGGGGTCGAGCCCGCCCTGCACCCGCAGTCAGTGGAAGAGTTCGGGAGGTCCGTTTTGGAGGAGTTGAGCTGCTGAGCGGCCAAAACGGACCACCAGAGGGAGAGCAAGGAGCACAGCCAAGCTGACCAAGCTGGTGAGGTCCGTTTTGGAGGATTTGGGCTGCTGAGCGGCCAAAACGGACCACCAGGGAGAGAAAGGGACAGAGACCCACCGCCAGCGCTCGTTTGATGAGGTTGCCGTGCCTGTGTGCGCACAGGAACATGGACGTTATCATCCCACCCCACCCCACCTCCCACCCCACCACCCCACCCCACCCACCCTAAAACCAGATGGTGTCGCAGATGAGGGGAAAATGGTGTCGCAGATGAGGGAAAATCAGGGGGGTTTTGGTGTCACAGATGAGGGGGATTTGGTGTCACAGATGAGGGGCTTACCACTTCAACTATTCCATGGGGGTGCCCACAAATGCCGGTGCAAGAGTCGGAAATTTCACCAAACCATATGATTTGGGTCCAAAAATAGGTTGGATGGATCGCGCAAAAACGTGGTCTGTTTAGCAGTGGCAAAATGAAGTTTTCACCGATGAAATTTCGGGGTGCGTGTGCGTTCAAGGATTTGAGTGTGAGTGGAGAGTCTTCAAACTTGGATGGCCAGTGACTACACAAGACCTCAGCTGCAGGTACCACGATGAATTTTGAGTGAAGTCTCGTATCTCGTGGTCCCTGGTTATATTTGGAAACGGGTACCCTGGTATCCTGCTGTGAACAGCCTGCCATGCAGTTTTTCGAGGACCCAAATCCGTCCAAGCGGAGGTGGTTGCCGTGCCCAAGACAGCAGGGGCCAATGTTGAGATGTGGGCAGGGTAGGGTCCAACCTGATGGGTTCAATGGTATATAGATGGGATATAGCCATAGCATGATACAACTAACCGACCAATTAAACTTGGTTGAATAGGCACAGGTTAGTAAAACTCCCACTATATACTTCAAGATTTTAAACAGAACAGATGGTTGTGACGGTTGTTGGCAGTTCAGTAACAAACCAGGGTGACGTTTATCACGCTGATCAGCCGAGGCTGAAACGTCGGAGTCATTTCACCTGCAGAGCTTAATTGTTTTGCGCAAAATTGGATCTGAATATATCCAAGATTGTTGGCATTTTTTTGGTGTGTCTGAAAACAATATCCACAATTTCTAGAGTTTATCATCATTTTATTCGATGCGGCAATTTTGCGGTGGGTTCTGCTTCAATTGAAACCAATCCCGTTTTGCCTGACCCGTTGCTGGGGTCGGACGAGTTCGCCTCGCAGAGCTTTATGGAGGTAACTTGTAGGATCTCAGCCCTCCAATCTCTTGGGCACCCAGTTTTGACATGTTTTGACCTCATACCCCAACTCTTTGTTTCAATCAAACTCGTTCCCTTCAATTTCAGGTGAAATCCATTTTTGTTGGCTGATGAGTTCCGCTAGCGAATCCAATTTTTGGGGTCTTTCCCCTTTGTTCTTTGCTGGTTTCGCCCAAAACTTGGCGATAAAAACGTGAACGTGTATGTTGTTTTGACAAGGAACATGATGATCAAAGTTCGCTTTATCCTTTGACCCAAAACTCGCCATTGATGGACTGAGTCGAGGTGATTCCCAAGAGTTCGCCAGCGGAGGTGCTGCCGCATCCGAGCGTTGATCATGACGATGACACAAATGTCATGTTGCCAGTTACTGGTATGTGTTATGTTTCAATCAATGTCAGTTCATCATACCAAAACTGTCGGTCTTCAGAGGTTTGAGGTGGTTTTCTTCTGAACTTCGTATAGAATACAATCCAGCAAAGTTTATATAATAGACATAGGTCATAGGCGTGGAAAAAAAATCTGGCTTCCCAAAGAAAAATCTATGAAATATCAATGTTGATCTGGTGGAGAGCATCAACCGTCAGGAATACTGTTGATGATGGTTTCCTGTCTTTGTCAATTGGAAACAACGTGCAACCACAGTAGGTCATCCTATTTACACCCCTCTGGTGACCAAGCATAGCAATGGAAACTCCCCATAGTTCCATGATTTTCCCAGCTATAACCCCCATTCAGATAAATTTCGATCGGATTCTTCAATGGCAACTCCAGTTGCCCGCCCAGCTCTCAGCCGTTTGGTCGAACGAGGCGCCGGTTCCTCCTCCGCCGCCGGGCCCAGTGGCGCAAGTGGTACCAGAGAGGTGAGTCCATGGCAGAAATGGGGGTACCCCCAAAGGATAGTTTATGGAAAATGATGGGGATGAATACACTTATATAATAAATCTTAATAAAAGGTATACCCTCTGGTAAACCATCTACCAGTATAAATGGGCCGTTTTTCATGGCTATGTTAAATAACCAAAGGGTAAAATGGATGAAAAATGGGGGTACACCTGATGGGATGGGTCAAACTTTAAGACTCGGACCACAGAATTTAGGATTCATGTTTAGTATAGACATGTATAGACCATCTAATGACCATCGAATTATTGGGGTACCCAAGTTTGACCCAAACCCGTGTGGAAATACCAGTTACAATCTATGGATAGTTACTATTGATGATCAAATTATAGGTATATGTACTGTATATACAGTTACCAATGCAGGGAATACATGGATTTTTCAAAAGGGAACTACATGGATGGAATGGGATAGGACTAACCAACCTTAACCAACCTGATATGACTTGATCCATTTACCTTCCAGTAAACCAACAGTTTGCTATGGAAGCCATGGCGCATAGATGATTTACCGTTATTTACTGTAAAATTGCTGATTTTCCCAAGCAAAAAGTTGAATTGCCAGATGGCAGGGAAATTTACAATCCAAAAATTATGGTGATATAAAGGAAACATACACCACTATATATATATGTATACTGTATATACACATTATATTTATAAACATTGGAGATATCCCAAATTACAAATTATGGCAATGAACAATTATGGAGAAGATGATCAGCCAGTGGATTTGGGGTTATTTATGATCTAACAAAAAAACATGGCCATTTTGCATGGAGAACAGGGCATTTGAGTTCCATAGACAACTGTGATTTGAAGGCCACCAAAATGAGATTCAATAGGATTTTGTTTAAACTAGACATGATGTTTTAGTATGTGGATTGAATGACTATTTTCATGGGGATAGTGCAACACTCCAACGTGGGAACCCCACCTTCAACCAACCACTTGGTTTGGGGATGGTAGAGGGTAATCTGGGTAGTGCTCACGACAAGTTTTCTTTGCCGTTCAACAAGAACACGGATTTAGCAAAAACTGACAGAGGGGATCTAACCAACACAATGTGGCAAATATTTGTGTAGTTTCAGTCTCATGCTATGGTCCTGCTGTAATTGATATTGCGAGATGAGAAATTGCGAGATACACCCATCCGCTTGGTAAATGCGTACAGGTACCTGAACTACCCATTGAGGTTGCTTCATCAGGGTATTTTTCTTGGCGATACCAATCTTGCATTCATAAAACCTGGTTGTTCGCCATCGGCCTATCGGTTTCTATTCATTCAGATGATTCTGAGTTAGTATGCAGTAGGGACATACCCATCCCGGTCCATTGTTGGCCACGAACACAGCATTCACCATGCTGATGAAGTACCAATTTCCAGTTGAATTTCATGAAAGTGTTGGACTTGGATGACTTGGGCAAATGTGCACCGCACATGATGATCATGATGGAACATTGAGCCGGTTCCTCAATCATTGAGCCCAGAATTGATCAACCATGGAAGTCATGGAATTTCCAACGAAGGCTTCCAGTTGTCCCTGCAGGTTTGCGGCGGTGGAGCACCTGAGTGTGACGGAGCTTCAACAGCTGCAGGTGTGACACATGTGACACGTGGGGCTGCAGTGATGGTGGGAAGACGAGACAATATATGTGCATATAGTATTTATTGGGTTACATATGGTTATATATATATGGGGATTACTGGGGGAATAACTATCAAATACTATCAATATCTATACAAGGTGGGGCGTGTTGCCATTTGCGATAGCTAAGTTGGCGCGCGTAACTTGGTTCACGTTTGGCTTTATGGAGGATACACATAGCTATGTATATATATATATATACATACATACATACTTAATGGATACAAGGATGGAATTCACCAACTTATAGCTGGGGCCCGTCTGGCAAAATTAACCTTTCGGGGCCAGATGTCCATTCTGAGGCAATGGCGCTGGGCTCCAGACTGAGCTTTTGAATCACTAAGTAGTTACGAAGGCTCCACGAATCCGCGAATCTACAGAGCACAAAGCCTTGGTTGATTTAAGGATTTTAAGGGCATGTCCCCATACAACCCCATAAACTTTTAAACTCGATAAAACTCAATAAAAGTGTACAAACCTCTGAGTAAAACCTAGTAAAACTCCATAAAGCTTCATAAAACTCCACCAAAAATAGCGGTTGAAACTTGCAAAGTTCTCTTTTTTTTGTGCGCCAGGCCAATGTCTCAGCAATGGATGACCTGATTCTTGAGGAGTCGAAGGTTTCGAAGTCGTTGGGGTCGTTGGCTTGATCGATTGATGGGGAAGAAACCCACCAATTGATGAGATAAAACCCACCAATGAATGGGATGTCATAGGATTTTTTTGTAGATGACATGGATTTGATTGGGATGTTTTTTTGGGACTAAATGGGATTTCATGGGATGTTATAGGGATTAAATTGGGTTTCATGGGATGTTATAGGGATTAAATTGGGCTTCATGGGATTTTATAGGGTTTAAATTGGATTTCATGTTTTTTTTGTTAAAGGGATTATATGAATGGGATTTTATAGGGATTTACAGCAATGGGTTCTAAGGAGATATTTCATCGGATAACGGCAGCAACAGATATGATCATTGCTGGGTAAAACCATGAGATGTCCAACTTCCAAGACTCAGAACTGGTGGGAAATTTGGAGGTAAACCCCATGCTTTACCATGGCTCACCATGGTTTCCCCCCCATTGTGAGGGGTAAAAGTTCCGCAACACCAGCTGATTCCTGCAGGTGAAGGACCTCTTGCAGCAGCTGAAAGCGGTGCGGCAGGCAGTTGTCATTGTGATTCGATCCATACACGGCTGATAATTGGATATGATAGGTTTTGTTTCCCCGTTTTGAAGCCTGGACATGGGAGAAGTATCATGGCCATGTCTGAGCAGCGAACCGGGATGCGATCCGGAAAATTGTGGAAAATTGGGATTTTACGGAAGCAAAAAAAGAGGAAACAAAGGCAAGCAACAGTCGGGATTTCAGCAGGTGGAAGAATCGACCCTGGTTTTCAGCCGACTTTTGGAATGAATCCAGTGACAGATGCTGCCTGGAGGTGACGGGTCAATACTTATGATGTTCCGGTGGTTCCTGTCCGCAAGTAGTAGGTATCTTGAAGTAAAGATAAAGACATTAACATACATTAACCCAAGGCCACATTTAGTCCCCTGACTGCAAATAGGGTTTGGGCATGGGAAGTTCTACCCTCACTTTTTTGGTTTCGTCCATGGGTGATACTGTACAGTGATACACCCGAATCCACGGGTTCATCACCATCTTCTCCATATGGAAATTTGCGAATTTCGCCAGGAGGGGCGAAGCGTTGCTGATGCCATCATGGATCGCGAGCCCAAACTGCAGGAGGCAAGGGAAGTAAAAGAATTGAGGGCAGAGAATTACTTTTTTTGGGAGGTAACTCCGCATCATTAACCAATTATAGGGTATAATTACCCAGACACGGTCATTTTTCATAGGGATCGCCCCCACGAATTGTAGCTGATTAGCAAGTGGGGATACAAACCAGTTGGGTTTCCTGGAATGGTCCTGCAAGAACAAGAGGACTTTTTGGGGGTAGCCCCACGAATTCATCAGCCATAAGGTCTGTGGGTATGGAGTTGAGACTAGTCATGGAATTATATATGTATACTGTATATTGACAATGATTGACAAAGAATATAAAAACCACACCTGTTTCATTCATTTGGGGCCTGTAAACCTCTAAGAATTGAGGCTTAGTATCACTGCACGATGATTTTCCTATGGAAAAACACGAGTGAAAACTGCCACTTGAGGCTGGAACCATTTGGAATCGGGAACCTCATGGGCATAGTTGACCAATTGGATTAACCTGATGCTGGAAACTCTCCAAGCTTCAGATCACGAAACCTTTTCGGGAGAAACCTCAGGTCCCTGAGGTTGTAAGAGAGATTTCACGTTTTTTTTTTTTCAATATTTGGTCGGATAAAGAAGTGCAAGAGCTTGGTTTGAACCATGAGAGTACATAGTGTGTGCTTTCAGACTTTGATTCTTCAAAGTTTCTGCATGGACTATGGGTTGCTGGATGCTTCTGGGATTGGTGTCTCCAAAAGGTGAATGATATATGACATATGGACAGGCCCTTCTATGGTCTCAAAAGGAAATGGTTGTTGAAGAGATACAACCCGGCAAACCATCTGTGGGTTACCTTACATCCCAATGAGTTCCAATGAGCATATCCGATAGTGAATGCCAATGTGGGATGGTTCATGGCATTGCCTTTTTCTCATCATATCAATTATCTACTGTATAATACTACCCCCATGATATCTTAATAGAATGGGGTTTCTTATAACCCAATATATAATATTGGCCATTACCAACAATCCCATTTCAGCAATCTTGTGCAAAATTCAGCCGGGCGAGGCTGCCGTTGACTACGAAGGAAAACGAGAGGCCGCTGCATATTTTGTTGGATCTAAGGAATCTTTTCATCACTTTCTAATGGGGATATACCCTGGGAAAAAAAATACAAAAGATGTGAAACATGGGGAAACCCTAGGAAAATGCTCTACAAATGGTGGGGTTTCCACATCTATGTGAGTTTGCAGGTATATCTATCTATGTATATCATTTACCTGCTGAAATGGGAACTTTCCAGCAACTTCAATGGGTTCAAAAAGGTATATCCCCCTTTCGTGAAACAGCCCTAGAGTTTTGGTTTTTGAATTGTCATTGGTGTTTTAGATCCTCATGTTGAAGTTGAAATCTCAATCCTCCTATGCCCAGATCGTGTATCGATCCACAATTTTTGGCTACGATCTACTGGTCTCCCACAATTACGAATTTGGTTTATCACCTCCAACTAGGTCCATCATCCCATGAAAAATTCGATTCTAACTCCGATTCTCAATCCAATTCAATCCCATTCACGTCGCGCCAGGCGTTGGCCCAGCTGAGGTCTTCCGTGGAGGCGACGCTACGTGGGATGATAGGATTTAAGCAACCAACATGGTGATTTTATATGATTTCATCATCAGATATGCTGATTTCAGATGCTTCAATCAGGGAAATTGGCTTTCAAAGGAGAAGCGTGGCGATTTTATCCACAAACAAAGGGATTGCGCTAGCAAACATGTGGTATGATGGGGATGTAATGGAGGATACGGTGGGGATATATCTGGATACATTAAAAGGACCTCACGTTGCGACGTCACTGGAAGTATGGTTGGGATTGGGGTACGTATCTCAAAATGGCCGAACCTTTCAATTAGGGAACGATATATAATCCATGCTTAATAGGGGAAGAATAGTGGGAACAATTCATCATGAGTCATGGGATACCACAACTATATCACCAACTTGACATAGATAGATATCTTAGATATCCCAATATGTGCCATTGTAATTTGGGTAAGAAACCAACCAACCCTTAGAAAATGGAGATTTGCTGTACATAGTGGGATAATCACTGGAATATACAAACTGGCAATCAACTTGATATGATAGATATGTAGATAGATATCGAGAATCGTCTATGGAATCTGAAATTGAGCAGTGAAACCCGGGTTGATTAGTCTTGGTAGTGATTACAGTGTACTTGCTGTTTTTTTCTAAATGATTATCCCCCAAAATAGGTACCAATAAAATTGGCCAATAAATCGGTCGTGATTTCAGGTAAGCACCCAAGAGACAGAACATGTTCAATTTCTCACTATATTTTAGGTTTTAGACATGGGTTTTACTTTTCTACATTTTCTTTAAAATCACATGTTGATGGTGATATCAAGTGATATCTCCCGATATTTTGGCTGGTTCAATCCCGCGGATGTTTCGTCCATTGGTTCACCATGAAGTTCTCGTCCCTTCCACGGCGCTTGCTGCGCTTGACGCGAGGCCAAGATCCAGCAGCGGCAGGAGATCTTGCAGAAACGGAGCCCCCAGCGCCTGGGGGTCCAGCTGAACGCCGGGAGAGCCCAGACTGGGCCGTTGGTGCCATGCCGTGACTGAGGATAGAAATGGCGCAACGAAAAATCCTAGGAAAATGATAGAAATCCTAGGGAAACCAACGTATTTGTGGTCAAATAATGTCAAATCACCGTTTCTAGGAGAATATGTATATATATACACATATACATGATTGATTGAAGCATTGTGATTGGAAGATGTCATGAGTCATGGGATATATCTACTTAGCTTGATATGATAAATCAGGAAAACGATAGATTCTGACCAATCCTCATATGTTGGGTTCGGCTCGCGATGAGTAGATGCTGGAACAGAGGGAAACGTGAGGGAAACGTGAGGGAACGTGAGGGAAAGCTGAGGTTGAGATGGTTGAACACGATTTAGTGGTGAGAAATTGAATCTTGGACAAACTCCTACAGGCATCTGACAAAGTCGTACCTGTTTTAGGAAAAAATCGTTGTGCCTTGGGGAAGTGTGTTTCGCAAAAGTCGTGCCTTTAGCAAGAACGCATAGGAACTCTGGAGTTTGAATATGTAACCTGTTTTCTTATGAGATCACGTAGCTGATCACTATTAGCATGCAGAATTCCAGGTTGTGGGTATGTTGATTAGTTATAGGTAAGATGGCGTTGAGCTGTTGATTTGATGATTTTGGATTAGGCATGACTTCTTGGATACAGCGTTTACAATGGTAAATGCCATTCAAAAACACGCTAGGCATGACTTAGGCGTGACATTGTCGTCGCTTCCCTGTACCATAGAAAGTGACCAGTGTGAATGGACCGAATCGATATAGCAAGAAGTTGAGCACATGTTGAACCATTCTTTAGAACTCAGCATTTCAAAAGGATCTTACTCCGATTAGGGAGCTGTGGTGATGATGATGATGATGATGATGATGGCGGTCAAGTCATTTCGATCTCTTCATGGTGGTTGACATCCTACAGCAGCTGTCTATTCTGTCCAGAAAAAAGTTGTGGATGAGAAAACCAGGGTTTCGGAATTGCATGAACTCATACAGACACCAACACTCCGGAAAATCAATGACATTTGCATCCGGCTTCACCACCCTATCGCATCTACTGACAGGAACACTATCACATCAGTATTGCGGTCAAAAATTACATTCATTAAAACATATTAAAACCCATCCAATTTGGGTTGTGGTAATTTCTGATCAGTCTATATTTCACATTTGTGTCAGTTAAATCCCAAACTTTTGTTGGTTAAATCCCAAACTTTTATTCAATTATTGATAAATGGATTCCATTTATTGGCTGGTAAATCACAATTTTGGCTGGTTAAATCCATCATTTCCGTTAGAAAACACCATGTTTATCCATTTTTGCTGATTGATGCGCAATTTTTTGCTGGTCAAGTCCCAAAAAATGTTGGTTGAATCCTCATCTGCTGAAGTCCCAGGCAAGAGCTCAAGACGCTGAGCAGCTGGCAGAAGAGACCCTGAACCAGGTGCGGCTACGACGGTACGACGTGAGTCTGGTGGATGTTAGGAGCCACAGCCTAACTGGGATCTCTGGAATCATGGGGACGGACATAATGGATATAATAGTATATAATAGTATATAATAGTATATATATAGTATATATAGTATATATATAGTATATATATATAGTATATAAATAATGGAATCAATGGAGAGAACCTGGATATAATGTCTGAAGATATGGAGAAATGGGGATCTGGGGAGACGACTTTGGAGAGTTACCCGAAGGTGTAAGATTTGTTTTGAGTGGTGGCTCAGACCTGTATGGTCCTGTATGTATAAATTTATAACCTTGATAAGTCCGATAACCCTGATGAGTCCCAAATTCAAGTTAGGTTTCTTGAGCAACTTGAAACCAGCTGCAGGGGGAAGGACGGGATCTGAAATAACTGGGGAGCCCCGGGCGCCCTTGGAAGCGTGGAAGCCACAGGGGCAGCAGAGCAACATGGCTCGTTTTTGAAGTCGGACCCCCAAGAAAAATCCCAGAACCATGGGCAAACAAAGAATTGAAGAGTATGGTGGATGATTTCCATTTCATATGGTGTGTATACTTTCCATATCATTCTCTCTCTCTCTCTATATATTTATATATGATATGAATATATCTATGTATGTTCGTTTGCCGCCATTTTTTTCCTCCAAATGTGTAGCTATGATGTTGGTGCAGCCCGGCAGATGATTGGTGGTGTCCCAAAGTTGGTGAAAATCAATTTTCAATGTTTCGCGAGAATACCGTTTTGTTTTTTTGGAAGATCTGAAATGTTCTTGCTGAAACAATCGCATCTTGAGTCATTTGAGCAAAAAAACATCAATCAACCACCAATCAACCATCAATCAACCATCAATCAACCATCAATCAACCATCAATACATATCAATACCATCAATCAACCACCAGAAATCAGCATTTTCCCCATCATCTTCGTCATTTTTGTAGCTCATCAGTTCCGCAGTTCCCGGAATGTTTTTGCCAGGCGTTGGATGCTGGTGCCATGGATGCCAGCGGCCTGAGCCAATTCAGGCGAGATGGAGATTTCCACCAAAACATGGGTGATGAAAAACCAATTGAAAAACCTTTTTTTAAGCGCCAAAAGATGGAGATTTTTTTTGAGTTGGATAAAAATGATCGAACAGAGTACTGACGTTTTTTTTTCGCAAGAAAATGTGGTAGGGAACCAAGGCACATGGTGATTTAAACATCAAGAATGGAGATCATGGGGTGAAAAGGGAACTGGGGCAGGCCGAACCATCAACAAACTGGCATTTACTGTAACAGGATCTAATGAGATTTGACCAGCCGAAATGGCGGGAACCAGTGGTTTCAACCATCAAACATGGTGGTCTAATGGGGTTCGAATGGGATTTTAATGGTGATGAGTTTCCCCTCTGGTGTCCTCAAACTGGGAAATCGCCGAACTGGCAAGGTTTGTAGCTAGATTTCCGACTGAACTCAAGAGAAGTTGAGCCTCAGCTGGGAATTTCACCAGGGGAGATGTCAAGGTTGGTGTGGATTTTTTTTCTTTTTTTTTTAAATGGGACCAGTAAAGTGCCAATGTGACACAACGTGGGCGGAAAAAGGACACGGGCAATTTCCGGCTGAGCGGATTGCAGGCAGCAGTTCATGCAGCAGAAGGCGCCTCGGTTTGGCAGTTGAGAGCTGGACGTCGTATGAGCAATTGAAATGCCGTTCATGTTGAATCACCTAATGGGATTTTAAGGGGAATTTATGGTGATTTAATGGATTTGAATGGGATTTTGTGGGAGAAAAGCGGATACTGTATATTGACCAAGTTAGTGTGAGATATGGGTGTGTCTGAAAAGTGGCCATGGGTGCCCCTAAACCCATTGGACAATGATGATCTTCCCCATTCAATTGGCCATGCGGGCCCATCTTCAGACACCTTCATATCAGAAAAAGACGGTTGTGTTTTTTTGCGAATGAATTACTCTTGGTACATCACCTATTTTTGATCGGTTTTTGACCATCCGATCCATTGGGTCTCTGGGCACCCGCCAGATGAAGAAACACCTGAACCTCGCGCTGAAGTCTGCCGTAGAGTCAGGAATCTCAGGCGACAGAGCAAGGATGGACGATCAGAAAAAACCGTGAGTCCTTGAAGGTTTCATCAAACCCCAAGGGCCTAAGGGTTGGTGCTGGTTCCATTTTCCCCCTTAGCCGGGAAAAAACATGATTGCAGTGTGACCTTTTTGGGACCCGGGTTGCCCATTTCCATTGGGGGTTGACCGGCGATGATTCGGGTATCCCGGAGGTGATACCCCATAGAATCCCCACATGGACCATGGATGACCATGGCAATTCTCTGGGGTTTACTATACTGGCATGAGAAAAAGCTCACCAGACGCCATGGTTCAGTGATGAGGTCTTGTGCTTGACAAGCTTCGAGGCCGGTAGATGCCTTAGCCAAAGAGCTGGGGGGTGATGGAGAATTCCAATGGTTTCTCGAATATGGGTATATGGCTTTGTTTGAAAATGGGGTATACCCGGTATACCCTCCGTTTACGGCCATTTAAAGGGGAAAATGATGATTGACCAATTAACCATCAAATTCGGAGGTTGCCCATCTTCAGACAATCCCAAATGTATTGGGATAGTTTGTTTAAGACTTTAAGAGTCCTGGAGTTCAGGGACGTCTTTACTTATATATGGGATAGTACGATTTAGAGCTTCAATGCGAGGCAGTCCATTCTGCAGCAGTTGAACACGAACATTAATCCGGGGGCTTTTTTTTAAACGATGACAACTCTTGTGAAAAGGAGACAACTTCTGTGATGATGGGCCCTGGCTCATTTGGATCTGGCTGAAACTTCTTGACCCTGCCGGCATTAAAGGCTTGTTCATTGTCACAAGAAAGGGGTGCAGCCCTGAGGTGGTCGTAAAAAAGCTCCCATCTAATCTTCACCCGGTGGCCACTCTGGTTTCGGGGACCCGAAACAGCTGAGGCATCTCGCCCTTTTGCGACACATCTGCTGTGAGATCTGAAGTTGGTGGATGGGATGCAAACCATCGAGAGTATCCAACATGTTTACCCAAACATGATTTTTGGGAATGCCACACGTTTTTTGGGACTGTCCACTCTTAGCTTCAGTTTCCAATCGTTGGCTCGGGTTTGCAATGGGTCTCAGGCGAGGGAACTTTGAACTCATTCGCCAGATGTGGCTTTGGTTCACAGTGGAGACATAGCGGAGACCCATCCAGAGATTGGTATGGATCAAAATTCTCAACCCTCCAAAAAATGGTTGATTTATAAAATATATGGTCCCATATAGATTAAAATAGTGAACAATCACAACTTTTGGTCCTTTGCTACCCAAATTTTGACCCATAGATCGAAAGCGGGTCAGAACTGACGTGCGAACTCCCCAACTCAGCCCTACCGACAGTACAGCGGTGCACCACTCCTCGAGCTTTGCGACAAAAGGGCGGCAGGGCGATGAATGTTGAGGGGTATGATGGTATGATATGTACCCTCTGGTAAACTAACATAACTATGGAAAATCACCATGCTATTAATGAGAAAACTCACTATAAATGGGCCATTTTCCATAGCAAACTGTTAAATTACCAAAGGGTATGCCATCTGCCATGCAGACGATTCGGGGCCATGAGGGGCCCCTGTCCATTCACACAACGCCGGCTCGTCACGAACGGATCACCCGTGGATCACGGCCCCTTCCGAGCCCCGTCCGCGTTACGCGGCCATGGGCCATCCAGGTGGGAGTCGATGACACCCATGGCAGCCATGGCACATATGGCCATTTTGGGGGTCCAGGAATTGGGGCTGTTGGGGGTATTAGTTAAACAATTGCTGTGGGTCTATACATCCATATTCCATTTTTTTAAATTTTCGGTTGAAGCACGCTATGGCTGGTATAAATGTCCATGGTTTCTGCAAATGGTCCCTGAAATCAAATCAGGATCTATCCAGTGTCAAGGGTGTTTTGTTAGATTTGAAATATGGGTGTCCGGGTGTCTAGTCTCCACATCATGGGATGATTTACCCTCTGGTAATTTAACGTAGCTATTGAAAATGGCCATTTATAGGGATTTTCCCATTAATAATGGTGATTTTCCATAGCTATGTTAAATTACCAGAGGGTAGGTGAAATTTATGTCTGACTAAAGATGATGGTTATCTTCCAGCTGATTTTCGGCCAAAAATGGGATGACCATGGTGAATTAACTCCCGGTTTTCTTCCAAGAAAAAATCCACAAGAGAGAGAGAAATTATCCATTAGAAAGGAACATTTCCTTGCCATGCATAGGATGTTTTTCATGCACCGCCTGAGGGGAAGTTCTAGCCGAGATGTTTCAATCAGACTTCTTGGTGCTTGCCCCCCCAAACTTTTTGTCAAATCGGCATTTTGTTTTGGTGGTAGATCATGGTAGATCCACGTTAATCGTTGGTAAATGTAAAAAGTAGTTCGTAAATCCCGCAAACCCCGTAAATCCTTTACTTCCCCGATTTTTGCTCTGTAAAATCCCTTATTTTTGCTGGTAAAACCACCAACTTTTTATGGTTTGTACTGGCAATTCACCCCTTTTGGGTTGGGTGAACCACCCATCATTTCCAGGCGCTCCGTCCGGTGTGGGCGGTGGCAACCCGGGCGACGCCGGGGCGGGTGCCAGCGGTGCCAGCGACCAGCGCGCGGCGCGGGAGCGCTACCGCAATGCGCTCTTTGATCGGGAGGCGGGGGCTTGTGGTATTTCATAGGATTTCATAGGATTTCATAGGATTTCATGGGATTTCATGGGATTTCATGTCATTTAAGCAGCCAAAATGATGGAACATGGATGAACATGGGGGTTTAACATGGTTTAACCATCCAAGATAGGGACTGATAGGGTGGTGAAGCATCAAAAAATGGTGGTTGCACAGTTGCTCCAACCCATTGGCGAATCATGGCCACTTACCATCCTTGTGGGGTGTTGGCAGCAACCTTGACTGGGGATGACTGGGGATCCGAGTGGTGAGGAAAGATGGGTTGAGTGGGAAGCAGAGCATGAAACATATCTGAGTGATGAACTTGTGGTCGTTTCAAAGAGTTTCCATCCCTGCTTGGAAAATATGGTGTCACAATAATTTCTGTAGGTCACCCAACATTTGCTGAACCCTCAGACCCTCAGAGAGCTTAGACCTTGGAGGGACATGGTCTCACCCACGGAGATGTCGCTCAGACTTGGTCGGCCGGGTTTGTCTGAAAATAGGGTGCCCCATGCCATCCATTGGTTAATCATTTTCCCAACTACAATGCCATTCTGGATTCTGGATGTTTTCCACTTTTAGACGCACCCAACTCTCATATCAAGTTGTTTAGTACTATCATATCCCATAAGGTCCCATGAAATATCCCATGAAATCACCACTTGGATGTCATTTAAAACACCACTTGGATCCTCATGACATCTCCCATTCCATCACCAAGTTCTCCCATTCCACCTGGACTTTTTTCAGGCCAAAGCAGCCACCGCTTTGCTTGAGCAGGTGGGTCGTTGGTCGTTTTGTCGATTCCGCTTTGCGTGCTGGAGAGTACTTCATTGAACATCTCCCGAAGAAATATGCCTTCAAGGAAGTTATTAATTCAATTACCATCATTATCCCATCATTTAACCATCATGATCCCATCATTCAAGCATTATTATTCCATTAGTTTGCCATTAATAAACTTATCAACCACTATTAACCATTAATATCCCACATTCATATCCTCAGTAATCCTTATTCCATTCATAGATGGCCCTTCCTCGAACGGCACCACAGAAATACCGAGGTGCGGCACTACGTGGGCCGTTCGGGGAAGTGCCACGTGAGCGACTTCGAGGATTTGAAAAAGTCGCCCGGTCGACATGGAGGGTGACACGTAGCTGGGAAATTATGTTGGAACATTTGGAAAAGGATGTGACAATCTATAGAGATTTTATAGATGATTTAGTTATATAATATGTTATAATTCAGATATAAAGTATAAATGATTTTCCCATCTATGAATATAGGAGACAAACTCGATACATGGAGGTTTATAGCTGGGAGGTGCTGGGAGAATCATTGACAAATTCCAGCCATGGTTGACTACCGGAGGGTAATTACCCCCAAATATCCCCGCAACCTCTTAAGACGGCGGAACTTTTCTTGAACCCTAAACCAAACCTTTAAACACCCCCTTGTTGATGGTGAAATCCCATTTTTTTTGGGTAAAAACACCGTTCTTTGACATTACAGTATATATAAAAGAAACCCAATAAAAACGATATAACCATTTTTGTTGAGATCCACATTTTTGCTGGTTAAACAATGTGGGCGCCAACCCCAACGTTCGCCCACGTTCAAATACTACACCCAGAAAAAAATCATATACTTGTCACCTGAGGATGAACGAAAACACTGGCTATACGCATCGATTTTGACTTGAGGTTTTAGGGTTTATTGTCTCGGAAAATCAAGAGACGCTAGCCCAAGAGACAGGGATTTGGGTGTGTCAATCCACCATGCAGGACCTGTGCACCATCCACCATGCCATCAGCAACCTGTACCAGCGCGTGCGGAGGACAGCGACCGGGGACTGTACGGAGACTGTACTGCACGGTTCAGTTCAGAGACGGGGGTTTGACCGAACAAAAAGTGGGGATTATATATATATATGTAATTATGATTAATTATGTGTATGTATGCATACATATATACACAATATCAATAATTGGATTATTGGAATATAATATATATATATATATACACACCAATAGATTTGTTTTAACTAGCTGTTTGGATATTTTATCAACATCGCAAACAAACACTCAGTGAATTTTGATGGAGATGGAAATGTTTATCATCCCAACTCCCAGTGACCCAATCCATTCACATACGTTCCCCACAGGCGAATTTTCTGTGTGTCCTATGTTAAACTCTTAGTTTTCAGGGCTTTGTAATTTGCAGGATTGGAAGTGTCCAAACCACCGTCATCAGCAACAAGACTATCAACCAGATGATGAACATGATTATTATTAGTAATTATGCTACAATCAGAATCAGTATGATGTTTTTTTTTTTCCTGATGATGGTTGATGGTTACACTATGATATATTTTGATTATGATTGGGTATGATCATGATGATGATGATGATGATCCCACTGATTTCCCCCAACTTCGCCAACGTTCCCAACGTGAAGCGACCGCCAGATTCTCCAACGTGGAAGCCATGCCGCGGGTCTATCGCAACGCCGTGAAGGCGTGCTGTAGGGCACTGGAACGCAAGGGGTTTATGATCAGTATCACATAGTATCACTACATTCAAAATAGCATCACATGGGGTTACATCATTGGCATTCCCCACTTTCAGAGGAACCCCAAATTGGGCCCCAAATTGGGAGAAACCAATGCTGGGGACCTTGGGTATCCAGGATTTCGCACTGATTTTGGCACATGGCGCAAGCCCATTCGCTAGTGGCTGCGATGATACAACAATCTGCTCTATCCTCATTCTTCTTGGTCGTAGAGCCTGAATTCGTGTTGGGGTCTCCAGAAATGGATGATTTGGGGGTACCCCTATTTCAGGAACCCCCCTTGTTGGTTCGGGCCACCATTGCTTTGGCAATTGAGTTTTTTTTGGTTGCTTCAATTTCCCATTGTTTTCCATGTGCGTTCACCAAATCCCAATTTCGGTTTGTCCCCAGTTTTTTTTCTTCGATCAGATCACATTCAATGCCCATTTTAATGGTTTGGTCAAGTCCTCTATATTGCTTAAATTCCCCTATGTTTGCCATCATTTTATGGTCAAATCGGTCAAATCCTCCAGTTTTTGCTTCAGCCAGATCACCAGTCAGTTAACGTTGTTTGCAGGGCCCAGCCGTCGGACCGAACGAAAGGCGGCCGGGAAATGCAGGAAAAAGGGTGGCGGAGAGGTGGGCATACGTGGCTTACCAAGAACCCCATGGAAAATGGTGGTCCTTTTTGGTTTTGAATGGGATTGAACCAGGCAAAATGGTGGAACATGTTGGTTTCACCATGAAACATGGAGGTTTCATATGGTTGAAACAATGGTTCTTGTGTCATTGTCCCACTCTCTTCCATTCTATGGAAGAAAAACACCACCCAAACTAAACAAACTTCCACAAAAACCGAAGTAAATGTTAGAGAAAAAGAAGGAGAGACAGTGGATTGGGGGGATAAACAGCTGATCACCGCCAGCAGATTATCCGCACATCATATGTTCTTGGGCTTGAGGCCTCCCTGAGAAGAAGCGATTTCAATCTGCTGAAGCCTAGGATTTTGCAGCTCAGCGTTTCAAAGAATCTTAGGATTTGTGGTAAGCCCAATGCCATCAAACCTACCATCACTGGGGATGATCTTTACAAACCATCAAAATGCTGATTTTTTGGGATGCTAGCCATTATTCACCAATCATTATGCATTATCCCACCATTTAGCTGCTATTCTCCCATTATTAGCCATAATTGGAACCATGATCGTCCCATGATCGTCCCATTATTTAACAATTATTAATCATTACTAGCCATTATTAATCATTACTCACCATTATTAATTATTATTTCTGATCATTATTAATCATTAGTAACCATTACGAACCACGAATGCCTCACATTCAAATCCTCATTGGTAATCCCCAACGCGCACAACATCGCCAGGCCAACAGCGCCCACTCAGGCGCCCTTCGCACAGCACGGGGCTGGGATATCATGGGACGTAACGGTAACGGGGACATACAATGATATGTGTATATATATATATAAACATATACACACACATACACATACATAATCATTACCACTTAAATGATATGGGTGTGGTACCTGAACATTTTTGGAAAACCCCAGTGACACATGGGGCTGTTTTAAAAAGAGGGATACCCCATTTTTACAGGAACGTGCATGAAACCTGCTTGGTTTCTGACTAGACTTGCAAGCCTTGGTTGTTGGATGAAGGGGAGCCAGGCTGCGATATGGTTTGGGACCTTTTGTAATTTCCTGGTTTGTAAATAGGCAAGCCCAAAATTCGATGGTTACCCTCTGGTAAACTAACATAACTATGGAAAATCACCATTTTTAATGGGAAAATCCACTACAAATGGCCATTTTCAATAGCTACGTTAAATTACCAGAGGGTAAACGCCGTTAAACGCGACAGGCTTTCGCCTGTTTAAAGCAGCCACATATTTTATGGCAGTCTCCTCCATAGCTGCCCAGTGATTTACGGTTTTCAACATGGTGATAGGTAACAAATTACCAGAGGCTATCTATTTGGGAAATACTTGCGGTATTGATGTTTATTGATGTCCACAATGGACATGTCACCACCATTTGGGATTTTTCACAATGTATATGTATGTATGTATATATATAATATTCAGTAACCCTCTATATACATATTTTTATATCATTATATGATATTATATGATATTATATGATATTATATGATATTATATGATATTGGTATCTCATGGTATCTCAACACAATTGGGTCCCCGTTGCAGAACGAAGCCGAGCTGCTGATCCTCAACAGCGACGGCCTGGAGGCGAAGGCCGAGGACGACGGAAGCGCCGCCGTTCTTGGCGCTTCGACGGCGTCTGTGCCGCTGGTGGCCTTGGAAGCGGCTGCGCCGCAGGGAAGCCTGGCACCACTGGGCCAAATAAGATAAAAACCGGTGGTTTTGAGTGGAATTTTAATGGGAGTTTGGTGATTTCATTGGGGTTTAATGATGTTTTGATGGGATTTAATGGAATTTCATGGGATGAACCAATGGAATGATGGGATTCTTATATTCTTTAGCCAGATTTTTGTCCAAAGAACTGGGAAATCAGCTGGTAAACTTGTAGTAGCCATGTTTAGCGATGACAGTAGTTTTTAAATTGCTTGCTAAAAACAAACATATCAATTCTCAACTCAATTCTCAGCGGATTGGTCATTACACTATATACTTGGCTTGTTGCTGTCTACTGGGGAGAAATCTTGGAATGAATCCGCTTTCTTTTTTCCATGTATTTTAGGGACTAGTGCCAGCCGTGATTTGTTTCCTAATCTTTTTCGGACAGATAGATAGAAAATGGCGACTTGAACCCAAAGCCGCATATTTTCAAGGGTCAGCCCCAACTTTTTTTAACAAGATCCTAACAGCACATTTTTGTTCAGGTCAAGACCAACCCGCACCTAGGTCCTCCCCGCCGCCATTGTTCGATCTGGTGCGCAAGGTGCCAGAAATCACGGTGCAGGACCGACTTTGTTGGCACGATTTTGAAACATATTCTATGGGAGGACGTATTATTGTGAAACCATGAAAGATTTGGAATTTGAAACACCTCAAACTTTCGGATGCTATCATCGAAAAATGGAGATTTGATATATCACATATGTGTTCACATATCAAAGAATTGGGATTTAAGCACCAAACAGTAGTGGTTCGACCATGTGTTTTGAACCAACGGAAATTGGGGGAAAAACGCGGCAAAACAAGAGGAACCAGAAAAACAATTGGAGTCAACAAGAAAGTTGGGAGAAGGTAACCACGAAAATTAGAGGAGTTAGTATAGTAAGCATAAACTCTGAGTAAAGCTTAGTTTTTTTGGTAAGTGGTAGGTCCCTTGATTTCCATAGAACACACTGCAGGGTGAGTTTGGATCGCCATGTCCCAGCTGGGGATCCAATGGGGATGGAAAGTATGGGATTCGGTTTCTTGGGTTTGAAGGGCCTCTGTTGGTCCCAAAGTGGCCTTTGGGTGGCGGATGTTCCGTAGCTCATGCCCCCATCACTATGGTTAACATTGGGACTGATGGCCCAACGAACCCGCTGTGGGATTGACTCTATATACACATGTAGATATATATATATATAATATGATATATAATATGATATATAATATGATATATAATATGATATATAATATGATATATAATATGATATATATATATACTGTATATAATACGATATATAATATGATATATATATATATACTGTATATAATATGATATATAATATGATATAATATGATATATAATATGATATATAATATGATATATAATATGACATATAGTATAGTTATATATACACATAATCCCTGCCCCATAATGACACCCTGCCAGAAACTCCATTGAAGTGTACTGCTCAGTTACTGTGACTTTGTCCCCAGAGGGATGCCCCGCAGTGGCAGGAGCTCTGCAGAGGTTTTTGGGGGGCCCGGTGGGGGATTGAGGAGGTTAGACTGGGCTCAATGGGGATTACCCTCTGGTTATGCCAAAATAGCTATTGAAAATGGCCATTTATAGTGGATTCATCCATTAACAATGGTGATTTTCAATAGCTATGTTTGTTTACCAGAGTGTATTGCAACTCACTTACCTGACTGGAAAACCTCCATGGGTCAACCTGGATGACCCAAGCATTTCGGAGTTGGACCGATTGAGCCGCAGCCAACGGTCTCCAGGGGCCATTGCCAACTTGAAGGACAGTTGAAGTAGGATGTCAAAGGACGCACTGCAAGGGGGCATTCTGACAAGTTGCACAAGTACATTCTTCCTGATTCTACCATGCCATCCAGCCATGACGCTGTTGCAGCGCACAGTCCTCGTGGTGTTGGGACTGCTGCTAGCTCTGGCTCTGGGCCAGCCACCGTCGCCGGGGCCATCGCCTGGACCGAGTCCGGGACCGTCCCCCCCGGACCGGGTTCGACAACAGCACCATCGCCTACAACAACGGCACCACCAACAACAGCCGCAACAACAGCCGCAACAACAACGGCCCCATCGCCAACAACAACAACCGCACCATCGCCAACAACAACCGCACCATCACCAACAACAACCGCACCACCAACAACAGCCGCAACAACAGCCACAACATCAACAACGGGCGCACCGTCGCCTGGGCCCACAACGACAACCGCACCGTCGCCATCGCCTGGGCCCCCACCAACGACAACCGCACCGTCGCCTGGGCCCCCTCCAACCACAGCCGCACCATCACCTCCTCCCCCGCCAACGAGCACCGCACCGTCACCAGCACCATCCCCCGGCCCAGCAGCATCAACTCCAACGACCGCCGCCGCATCCACTTCAAGGTCCCCAACAACCACGGCTACACCAGCACCGGGTCCATCAACAACCGCAACATCATTACCCGCAACGACAGTCCCACCATCGCCTGGGGCGCCCCCGACAACGCCTGGAGCTCCCGGGCCATCGTCGCCTGATCCAGCCGGGACCACTGCGCTGGCTGGTGCAGCAACAACCACCAGTCCAGCGCCACAAACATCGCAGCAGGCCGGTGCTGCAGGATCTTCCGCAAACGCAAAACTTCCGTGGGAAGTCTCTTGGCCGCCATGACCTTGGGAAGGGTAACATGATCCCAATTCACCCCATTGTTGATTGATTGCCGTCATCCTATAGTTAGTCCTTATTTTATCAGCGGTTTGATCTCGTTGAAAAAGTGTCCTTAGTGGTTGCCGGCTATGGGATGGCTCTCCATGCCTGGCAAATCGCCCTTTCTATAAATCGGGCCAGAATCAACGTGAGATTATTTACCCCTGCTGGAGTCATTCGTGTGGTACTGAATTTCACCAATATATATATATATAATATAATATATAATATAATATAATTCAATATCATACAATATCATTCAATACAACTTAATTCCACAATGAATTCTTCATTTTAGACATATTTGTTGCTTCACCAGCACTTTTTCCCACCGAAAATCCCCACCGCCGTGCCCAGTCGGCTACCACCAGCCCCACGGAGATGCGTTGGCCGCCCAGCCAGGAGGCTGGTGGCAATCCGGTGCCATGGCTACGGTTGGAGTTTCGGGCTGGGAGGGAACTGGGAGATCCCCATTTTTATTGGGTTAAACCATGTTAAACCATGTTAAACCCTATGGGTCAAACATAACAAATGAGATAAAATGGGGATATCCTCTAGTAACAGAACTGACATCGCTGACATAGCGAACTGGAGATTTTCCCCATTTTTATTGGGTTAAATCGACTATTTCTATGGCAATTGTCAATAGCTATGTGAAATGGCCAGAGGGTAACATGCTCTTTGAAATTAAGATGCTGGTTGAAGATGAGGGAGGGAATTTCTGATTGACTTAAACAGACAATCATGGTCTTTTTTGTTTCTCTTGGAATTGTCGCAAGCTGGTCTTTTTATTGTTACAAGTATTAGTATTACTATTATATATATATAGATAGTATTGATGTGTATTGATATTGTTGGGTATACCACAGAAAGTAAACATCATGGGGCAAAGGAGATGAGAGATAAAGTTGTGATTTAAGCAAGAGACAATGATCTAAGATGATTTAAGCAAGCGAAATGCGCGTGTAATCAAACATTCTGATCCAGGACTGCTAATATTTTGAATTGTGATGTACCAGCAGTCATAAAACACAGCATGAAGTTGATGATGTTCACCTTCTTGCTGCTGCTGCTGATGATGATGATGATGATGATGATGATTGGATCCTGGGCGGTTTCTGGCTCAACCTATGGATTGAAACCCATAGCTGCTTCGAGGATTTTTAGCAAGTACAGTGCTGCACTTCCATGGCAGTTTCCAAGACAAACCTTTGGACTCATCGTAGTGGCTCTGCGCTACCGAACTCAAAAATGCCACCTACATCGAAGGAAACCTCAACAAAACGGGGGCATGGGATGGACCTATGGGATCCTATGGGCCCCAAAGGGGTGCTTTCACCAAGCAAAAATTCAGTTGTCATCAAGCCCCTTGGTTCCAGCCTTGTGCCATGCGTTTGCGATGGTCAGCTTGTGCCCTGCTGTGCGCCCTTGCGGAGGAGTTTCGTGAGGCGGTGGAAGAGGTGGGGCCCGGGAAACAAGCTGGCAGGCATCATTTTTCTGCAGAAACCCTATGACAAACCTTGGTTGGGTCATTTTTTTTGTGCCACGAATAGTCTAGGGAAAAATTGCCATGCCTTTCCCTGCCAATTGCATGCTTGAGGTTGTTGTTGTGGATCGTAACTATATCCTAGCTGGAAGTTTCTTTTTAAGTCAATCAACTGATCATTATGTTTTTCTCCTCTTTGACTCCAACGCGAGTGTTTCTTCGATGCCCGTAGTCTGCATGACTGCGTGCTGCGAGTGAGAGTGCCTCCCGCCTTGTGTGAAGAACTAGCTTGTTTTTGTTCAGGAGATCTGAGACTAGCCCCGTTCTTTTTTCCGATAAGAGATGTTTCTGACATCTCTGGACCCGCAGATTTTCTAATTCAATGGCGAAAACATGCGAAAACTGCCCAGGACGCCCTGTCCGTCTCGCGCCTGGCGTCCCTCTTTGGGCAGCTGGACGGCGACGGCGACGGCCAGGCGTCGCCACTGGAGCTGCTGAGGGCCGCGGAGGCAGTGCGCCTGGGCCTGGCGACGAAGGATGTGGAGGTGGCGCTGGAGGCGCGGCCGATGTCTGCCATGGCTGCCAGGTGAAAATCCTGAGATTTGGATCGGAAAATAATGGAAAATAATGGAAAATATATGAGTTACCCTCTGGTTATTTAACATAGCCATGATAATTATAGAGTATAGATGGCCCATAGAAATAGATGGTTTACCGAACTTAAAAATGGGTGGATTTTCCATGGCTATGTTAAAATAACCAGATGGTACTAAGATTACTAAGAAACTTGAAGAAACTAACCGGTTAAGAACATCTAAGAATCCAATATGTTTTGAAGGGTATCTCAGATTTTCCCATGTTTTTGGTTTGGATCTTTTGCCATGGGGGAGAATTCCGGAAAGTAAAGCCCATGACTATTTTTGAGACTGCGTACTATACTGTTTCCGGTTGAAACCAGATGAGATTGTTGACCAGCAAGATTATTCAATAGGGTGAAAGTGATATCCTCATTGTAGTAGCAATCGTGCCCCCTTGTTCGTTGATATAAACACCCAGATGGAGAAGAAGGTTATGGGACAGAGAACCAAGATGAACCAAGAATGTTGTTTATACTCAAAAACAAAACTTGGTGTTTGCACATCCCCCAAAACTTTGTAGATCTATGTAGATCTTGGTTGAACAGCTCCCTTCCGTAATTCTTGTCCTAAGATTCGAAACCAACCAACATGTCCACGCAAAACGTTGAGTTTTCCCGTGGTTTCACAGATTTTGGGCCATGATGGGTTTGTCAATAGGGTCACAATAGATCTGGTGAATTACCTATATATTTGCCCCACCTTTTCCCCATCAAATGAGCCATCTCTGAGGGGTTACGTCGCAGGAGATGGACCGCAACCGCGATGGCTGGGTGACCTTTGAGGAACTCCACGAGGGCGAGGTGGAACCCATCGATGACGACGATCGGAGAGACATGGAGCCGCCTGGCGCAAGGCATGGTTTGTCGTCAATGTCGAAGTGGATATTGTGGATATTGTGGATATTGTGTGTGTATATATTTACTGTGTATATATATATATATTGCTACTGTATGTACAAGTACAAGAACATGCTGGTATGGTCAGTATGGTTACTTGTTCCATTGGCAGGCGTTTTTTGTTTATGTAAAGCCCCATCCAAAAAAACAGCGCGTTGTTTTGGCATCTCCATTGCAGCGCTTCAGCCAAGTTGGGCAAACCACGGGGCCACGCGGTCTGCGATTCTAATAATGGTTGATAAGGGTTACCCTCTGGTAAAGTAACTAACATAGCTATTGAAAATGGCCATTTATAGTGATTTTTCCCATGAAAAATGGTGATTTTCCATAGTTATGTTAGTTTACCAAAGGGTAACAGATTCAATAACAACATTATTGCTATCATGATAAAAATGATGATTTTGTTATATTTTTTGCTCATGGACAATCCTCTTTCTGGATGTTTCTGGGACATTGGAAATTTTTTTCCCAGACATGGCCATGGCTGCCATGATCCCATAATTCCTTGGTGATTTTAAGTGCTTTTCAAAACATGCTGTCCCGTGAGGCAAAACAAAAAAGTGACTCACGGGACAGTCGTGCTGATTTTGATGTTTCAGTTGAATGGTAAATGATCACGATTTCACATTTGGCTTTCAGTCTTGGGTTTGTTGGCTCTTATTTTTCGATAGTGCATTAAGCAATGACAAAAAGAATAGTGAGAAATAATACAGTGCAATGAGAAAAATCGTGCTGATTGTGATGAGAATGATAGTGATGCTGTAATGCTGTAGCTTTGATAATTAGTGATGATAATCAATCATCCAGCAATTGTATATTTCTTTTGCTGTTGGGTGGAGGTTGTTTTGTACATCTTTCAGGAGTCAACTTCAAGCTGTCCTCTTTCATAAGCATCAATCAAGAGTGGTAATTTAGGCCATGGTTTTGTTATCGCTATCCCAATATTTTTCCGTCGAGAACAGGTTGACCTCTTTATTTCCTAACATATAATAGTATAATGTATGTATATATATATAGTCGTTGAGCTGTCTCTGGTGGCTGACGTGCTAGATCTGGTAGATGATAGGGGGCCCTTCTGGTTGAGGTGGTGAAGCTCTGTTTTTGTTTTGTAAGGTTGAAATGTGGAATTGGTTATCTGCCCATGATATTCTCTAAAAAAGGAAGGAACAAATCCAAGGGTGCTTTTTTTTTCGTTGTTTGTCGCCCATTGCTTGTCAGCCAAGAAGAAGCTGAAGAAAATACCATAGATGGTGGACATACCAAATTAAGACTTATTAAGAACACCAGCTCCTATCACAAAATGGCAGCTTTAGTTTTTGAAATCTACCGGAATTCGAGCTTATAATTCAAATGGTGTATGGATGCCTTCCTATCAAAACTGTATATCATAGCTTGCCGATTATATACCATCCTTGCGGCATTGAGGAGAAAAAGAATGCACAAACAATTTGTAATTGTACAATGCTGATTATACAGTTGTCAGCTCCTATTCCATGATACGCATGATAAAAATGGTAATTGTTGATCGCTATGCAAAATCTTACTGGTGCTTAGTAGGGAATGGATGGGAATGGGGGAATGGGATTATTATTACTAGTGATTATGGATCATTCCCTCATTCCCTGCTAAGCACCAGTAAGAAATCATTGTTCCGATAACGATATGTTGCTGCCTATGTCCCCGTGATATGCATCCAAACTGCTCAGCTGACCCAACCGTAGCCATCATCAACCACCATTTATCAATGATGTCCTCATGTGTTCGATGCCCAACCATATCAGGTATATCCCTTGTTTGATAGTTATACCTCGTTAAGCCCATAAAAAAAGGTTGCTTACTTATCACTGCTTACTTACCATAAACACTAGTGAAATACTGGTTATATTCAACCCCATTATACACATATATACATAATATATATATATATATTATGGACACGATTCTTGATGTTATTTCCCAATTTTTGTTGCCAACACTTCGATCAAACCTGGTGTTGTTGTTAATCCTCGAAGCCTAGTTAGTTTAGTGGAGGTCAACCCTGAAAAAAAACCAGTAATTGAGTTTGAACCTAGCTCAATTACCTCTGGATTTTTCATCAGTATGAATTTTCTAGCTTAATTTTGGTGAGTTTTCCTGTTGGCATAAGTCATTAAATTCCATTCAATATCACCGTGACTCCCAGGAAGCGCCGCACGGAAGATCTGCAGCTCTTCAAGGCCGCGGACGTGGATGCAGACGGGCGCCTGACGCCTGCGGAGTTACGTGCGGTGCTGTACCCGGAGACGCAGCAGGCGCTGTGGAAGGTCTGAGGACTAGACTAGTGTAGCTGTCTAGTAGTTGCTTCTACCATCAGCACCAATGGGAATACGTGTGTGTGAAGACAATGGGAATACGTATGTGTGTGTATGTGTGTAAATATATATATATGCATGTAGATATAATTAAAAAACGGGGAGGGGGAGTTTGAAACTTGAGAAGTACTTGTATACGAGCCCTCAGTTAGTCACTCTGTATAGCCGTTTGCCAGAACAACGTTTGGGATGCAGTCCCATCCATAGCTCGGAACCATGCTTCCTTTGTTATTATAGGATCCATATTTTACTCAATGCAAATCCCCACTTTTGCTGGATTTCTCTCGGTCCGTCCTTGACTTTCTGTGGGTAAAATCGACATTTTGTTTGTCTGTTTTGGGTTTTGGCATCCGGGGCCCTTCTTGGATTTTCTGCCCGTTGTATGGGTGTGTGCCAGCCTTGTCTCAGGAGTTGTTGCGACTGGTGGCGGAACATGCGTTGAAGAGAAAGGCGGGCTGACGGGCAAATCCTTTCGGCTGGTTGTTGGCTGCCCAGGCCGAACACCTTGTGGGAACAGTGACCATGTGGTAGCATCAACAGCACTGTCACCAGCAAAAAGAAGAAGAAGAAGGAGGAGAAGAAGGATGAGCAGGAGAAACAGAAGGAGAAGGAGAAGGAAACGGAGATGGAGGAGGAAGAAGAGAAGAAAAAACCATGCAGAAGAGTAAGACGAGCAAGACGAGTAAGACGAGTAAGAAGAGGAAGAAGAGGAAAGAGAAGGAGAAGGAGACGGAGAAGAAACGAAACATGAGAACCACACGGGAAAAACTTGAAACAAATCACAGGAAAAACGGAAGTAAAGGAGAAACCATGGATCAAAGCCAGGGGAAGAAGGATGCGAAAACACATTGTACCATCCAGACACACAAAACGTGAGGTTCAAAATTGGTGTGAATTGTTGACAGCAAAACCCATCCACAATCTGCTTCCTGCTTTTAAATGATCGGACAGTTATCTCTCCATTTAACATGTTCAAAACATATCCAGACAAATCCCCAAATCATCAGAAACATCCATACAATCCCCAATCATCAAAGACATGAAAATACATCCCCAAAGCATCAACAAGCATCCTCGTTCACAATGTAAGATCATCAAAACCATGCGAAAAACCATGAAAAACCCATCCCTCCCAACTCCACAACACGTTTTCCAAGGCCAAAAAGACAAGTTTCCCTCAGCCGCCCCAACCCTAGGACCTGGATGGGGACGGTCAACTCACGTTGTCCGAGTTCTGGGAGGGCGACGTAGCGCCCAACGAGGAACCACAGGAGGAGGGCGCCACCTTCCGGCGTTTGGACCGCGACCAGAACGGCTCCCTTGATGGTCAAGGGATGATTTTGGCGAGTTTTTGGGGACATTTATTCCATGCCGGTCCATGCCATCGTCTTTATGGTTGATGTCAAAAGGTAGTAGAAAAATCTCGGCTTAGGCATAAGTTCGAGGGTGAAGGCAAGGAAAATTCTTGGGTATCCATCGGCTTGGTCCATTTTTGACCGGCATATATGAGTTTGTATGAAAATAGGGTATCCCAAGATCCATCTAATGAAACGCACCATTTTGGATTGCCATAAGACCGAATTTCTGACACATCCATCCATCATATCAAGTTGGGTAGTGATACTTATCGGATGACATCACTATCCTCATAATAACCCATACTAGTCTGGTTGGTGGTTTAGAACATGAATTTTATGTTTCCATATATTGGGAATTTAATCATCCCAACTGACGAACTCATATTTTTCAGAGGGGTAGGTATACCACCAACCAGTAGTGGATATATAAGCATAGCAGCATAGCAGCATAGCGGCCCCACCCAACTTACGGAGCTAAAGGCTCGCCATGTTTTTTTCGCCATTTGTGACCGAAACACCGCAGCCCCCATGGAATCTTAAATGGCCCATGAATCCTATGGTTAGTTATATCTCATCATATCCCAATAATTTCCCCTATTAAATTTGCATTGGAATCTAATATTAGATCACCATATGGAGGTTTCCTAAGTCAATGGGGGAAACCCCCATTCATCATCCATTTCCAATCATTTATAGATATGACCTGGTTTTTCCATCATTCCCCACCTGCCAGGTGAGGGTTGTTAGATTTTATGTCAGTTGCCTCCTCCTGCCTCGTCCTCCTCCTCCTCCTCCTCCTCTCCTCCTCGTCCTCCTCGTCCTCCTTGTCATCCTTGTCGTCCTCCTCCTCGTCGTCCTCCTCGTCCTCCTCGTCCAACTGCGACCCGCGATCCACAGTGTTCTCTGTCGGACCTCAACCACGACCATCCATGCTCAGTGTTCGCTGCCGGACCTCAACCACGACCATCCACGTCAGTGTGCCCTGCCGGACCTCAACCACGACCATCCCCGCCCAATGTTCCCTGCCGGACCTCAACCACGACCATCCACGCCCAGTGTTCCCTGCCGGACCTCAACCACGACCATCCACGCCCAGTGTTCCCTGCCGGACCTCAACCGCGAGTATCCACGCCAAGTGTTCCCTGCCGGACCTCATGTAGGAAGATATGGGACAAAGAATGTGCAGAAGAAAGTTAGAAAGAATGTGCACCGCTGGACCTCAACGGCCAGATAGAATGCCAGAAGATATGCCAGGTGGAATGTCAGATAGAATGCCAGAAGATATGCCAGATAAAATGCCATGAGATATGCCAGATAGAATGCCTGAAGGTATGCCAGAAGATATGCCAGATGGTATGCCAGATAAAGTGCCAGAATGTTTGCCAGATAGAATGCCAGAACATTTGCCAGATAGAATGCCAGATAGGATGTCAGAAGATATGCCAGATGCCAGATAGAATGCCAGATAGAATGCCAGAAGATATGCCAGAACATATGCCAGAAAATATGCCAGATAGAATGCCAGAAGGTATGCCAGATAAAATATCAGATAGAATGCCAGAAGGTATGCCAGAATGTTTGCCAAATAGAATGCCAGAAGATTTGCCAGATAGGATGGCAGAAGATATGCCAGAACATATGCCAGAAGATATGCCAGGTAGAATGCCAGAAGGTATGCCAGATCGAATGCCAGAAGATATGTCAGATAGAATGCCAGAAGATTTGCCAGTAACAAATCGATAAAGGTCATGGTGGGGATCACACGAAGTAAAGTATTTTTTTTCCAACATCAATGGGCCCCATGGAAACATCTGGCCGAACTGAGGTCATTTGAATGTGGAGGAACTGATGGACTGGGAATCTGGCGCCCATCACACGCAGGTGGCCTTCGAGGAGGGTTTTTTCGGCTATGGGACCTATGGGATCACTGAATCAATGGGGCCGGGAAGGGCCGGGCAGGGGATATACCCCCAAGTTATATCATCTTATATCATCTTATATCATATTTTAGACCTCTAGTTTCAGTACTTGAAATGGCCATTCACTGAATGATGACTAGTATCAGAAGGGTTCAAGCTTGCTCCGAGATGCATGTCGCTGCTGAAAGGCACAAATTTCATCCAATTCTTCATCCAATTCTCGCTCTGGCTGGTGAAAAGACACAATTTTTCAGCCTTTTGTTCTCAAATTTAAACTTTGCAGGTAAGAATCGCAAAGCCATTCAATTGTTTCCCACGCAAAATCCACAAAAGCATCCTTAGACTCCAAAATGTCTCGTCAGAAAACACGTCAAACCACAACATCTTTTTTCAATGTTGAGTATGGTTATATATGGTTATATACTGTTATACCCCCATCAATCACATCACCATAAACAATCATCACAAAATCAGCATTTCTATAGGAGCTGCTGCGCATGTGCGACGACAACGGAGATGGGCAGTTGAGCCTGGAAGAGCTGACAGGACATCATCAGCACCTGGGCTAAGGAGATGATCTGCGGTGTTGCGGTGTTGTTGGGATTTTCTTGGGATTTATGGTGATTTTCTTGGGATGGTATCAACAATAATCAACGATTTAATGGAGATGTAACCAACAAACCCAAGACTGCAAGAAAGTTTGGGAACAGGATAATTTGTGAGGATTTGTGTAAGCAACCATTTTATGGTGACATTCTGTGAAAATCTAGCCAGTAATGACGGTATAACAATGGCGGTATATTAAAAAATAAGTTTCGGTGGTATCCCAAACAGCCGCAACGTTTTATTTACATATCTTTCCAAAACACAACATTGAGGCAAAACTGCAAGTTAAACCGGCATGATCAAAACAAATCTTAAGAAAGACTCAGAAAAGCACAATTGCTCCAATGACATCCATGTATGCCGTGCACATGCATGAAAACAAAAAGAAGGAAAACAAACTTCTCCGGAACCTTCTCTGCAACCTTCTCCGGAACCTTCTCCGGAACCCGTTGAACCTGACCTGGCCCTGCACCAAAGATTCCCAGAACCTTCTCCGGGACCTTCTCTGCAACCTTCTCCAGAACCCGTTGAAGCTGACTTGGCTTTGCACCATAGCTTCCTCCAACCTTCTCCGGAACCTTCTCCGGAACCCTCTGTTGAACCTGACTGGCTCGGCACCAAAGCCTCCCAGACCTTCTCCGGAACCCTTGAACCTACCCTGGCTCTGCACCAAAGCCTCCCCGACCTTCTCCGGAACCGTCTTGGCTTTGCACCAAGGCTTCCTGGAACCTTCTCCGGAATCGCTCCGGAATCGCGTTGGACCTGACCTGGCGCTGCACCAAAGCCTCCCCGACCTTCTCCGGAACCGTCTTGGCTTTGCACCAAGGCTTCCTGGAACCTTCTCCGGAATCGCTCCGGAATCGCGTTGGACCTGACCTGGCTCTGCACCAAAGCCTCCCCGACCTTCTCCGGAAACCTCGTTGAACTTGACCCGGCGCCTGCACCAGTGCACACCCGAGCTATTCTGGGCTGAAGACCCCATGAGCTTAAGCTGTTGGGGAATAAATATCTAACCGACCAACTTGATACGACACTTGGGTTTGTCTGAACATGTTTTTTGGGTAGAACCTGGCCAGGAGTATAACCGATAATAAACAATTTTATATTGTATACGGTATACAATTGGATTTGGTGGTTGTTAACCATATGGACACGGGGATTTACGTAACAAGTAAATATGGGGATAGACTGCGGATAGAATGGGGATGGAATGGGGGTTAAAGAACTATGATACGACAAATTTTCTCTCACCAACTTTAAAATATCTTAAACATAGTGGATTTAAGCATCCGTTTGTGGCCATTTTAATTGGTAAAACGCTATTTTAAACCACCAAAAAAATTGGGCTCCCTATTTTTGAGACAAACGCTGGTTGGACAATGTTTTTGTTTGGTTGGATGATTTTTCCATTGGGGTTTCAGTTTTTAAAACCAATAGGTACATGATAAGGATTGGTATACCATATACCAAACCGGCCCCTGTATTTTTCCCAAAAGGACAGTATGGGGATGAAACCAACAATCGGGACGAAGTGGGGATTGTACCTGGCAACATTGGGGCTTTGCTGCCCAAAATTCTGGGAATTCGCCAACAAACTGAGGCAGTTGTCCAATACCGACGCTGCTTATCACTTCTTGGAATGGGCCGAGCATTACGAGCTCTAAAGCATCCACTGAGAGTTCACTGCTGAACCAGTCCAGGGGTGCCAGAAACTCTACTCCATTATATAGTTGGGATTAGTTGGGCAAGATTCATAGTTGTTGTTGCAGGCAAAAACTCAAAGCTTCACGGCTGAAGAAAAACTGCGGCAGAAATAGCTGATGGCTTGCCATGACAGAGCCAAGACATGCGGCGTTGTGCCAATGCTGCGGCCAGAGCAACCTGGACCCTTAGTCCTAATCCAAAAAAGGGACTAAAGGTACCACATGAGCACACATGGTACCACCACAATTTGGGTAGTCAACATGCTTCTGATACGTAAGGGTCTAGGTAGCACATGGTAGCACTACAACTTGCTCCATTTTGGCGACGTCGACGTAGCAGGGTGGCACGGGTTTCCAAAGTGAAGCCGAGGGGCCGTCGGTCGTTTAGGTCCGCAAGGAGCGCCGCAAGGAGCGCAAAAGCTGTTGCTAATCCTTTTGCGAGTTCGACAGGTTCTATAGATTGTAGAGGGATTTCATATATAATCTTATAATCATATATATATAGGTATATATAATATTACATATATGAATTTCCAGTTGAAGTCACTCTGATTGGTTGCAAACATGTTTTATGTTGAATTCTGATCCCAGCTGGCTCATCTTCAGACACTTAAGTCACTCCAAATCAGATTGCAACTGGTGGAAATTTACATCCCCTTTTTCATCAGAGTTGAAAAGGGTCAACATCTGAAAGTCCGGTAGTACCCCCAATTCCTTGTTGGATTGTCACTTTCCAACTGCATAGTGGCCATTTCGGGATCTTTATCCGGTGGCGGGCCGACATCATCTGAGGTGAATGTAACTATGTATCTTACCGATCCTTGGGTTGCAATGGGAATTGGCCATGGGGCCCCTTTTGGCAGCTGGTGAAACGAAGATCTCCATGGAAACTCCCCGGAAAAAAATGTTGCCTGGGCGAAGGAACTGGGCATTTCTGGGTGAAACCATTGGAGGGCGCAAATTTGAGTCGCGACTCAACGGTTTCTGAATCTTTCTGAAACATCAACGGGTCCTCAATTTGATGATCATTTGATCAGAAAATATCTGACTTTCCTCTTTCAAACTCATCAAACTGCCATAAATTATGGGTATCACTGGTATCACCCGGTTTTTTGAGAAACCCCATTTGGACAACATCAATCCGAAATGTCCAAGTATCCCACTGAACTTGCGATTATAACCCACTGACAGATCAGATCCGGAGCATATCTTCCCAAAAAATATTGATTGATCCAGATATCCTGATTTTTTTTTATTCCAATCAGATATATAATCATATCCTCATGTATCCTCATTATTTGTATCATATATCAGCTATATCATAACCCCAATCATATATATACACACATATATATTATTATTATTATTATTATTATTATTATTATTATTATTATTATTATTATTATTATTATTATTATTATTATTATTATTATTATTATATATATACATTATATAATATATATATATATTATATATTATATATATATTATATATTATATATATTATATATATTATATATATATTATATTATATATATAGGATATCTCAGCCATGTCATATCCCCATTGGTGAATCGCTGGCGACTCATCCGAGGATCTGAAAAACTTCGATGAGTCGCACGAGACCATCGCGGTCTATGCCTTGATTAACATCGAGTGGCAGCTCGGTTTCGCCGTGGACAACGTCGCGATTTTTGCGACGGAAAACATGGAGAAACCACATGAAACACTGGAAAAAATGGAGACTTCAGGAAAACTGACGATTTTTTTACAGGGATTTCATCCATTTCATCCACAGAATTGGGGATTTAGCCAAGAACAAATGCCTAGAAATGTTGATTTCTGCATGAACAATTGGGATTTCACCACGAACCACGAAAGCTTGGTGGGGGGTAAAACTCATCATTTCCCAGAGGGTTTGAAGTTTGAAGCGTCAAAAATCGGGGTATATGATGTAACTTGATATATAATAATCATTGACAAATAATGGTTATATAGTTGGGTATGAAATAGTTGGGGTATGCCACCTGATTCAATAGGGATTGTCATTAACCTGCTGGCATGGCCAAGGTCCAGATCCTGCTAGGGATAGGTTTGTGTTTTAAAATAGGGTTTCCCCCGCACGACTGGCCTACTGGCCACTTAAAGGGGACAATGGGGTGATGATCCATTCAAATTGAGGGTGTCCAATTTTCAGACAAACCCGTATATACACACATATCCCTACCCACCTACCTACCTACCTACCTACCTACAGAGAGAGAGAGAGAGAGAGAGACAGAGAGAGGCAGACAGAGAGAGGCAGACAGAGAGAGAGAGAGACAGAGAGAGACAGACAGAGAGAGACAGACAGAGACACAGACAGACAGGGCAGACAGGACAGGCAGGACAGAAAGGACAGACAGGACAGACAGACAGCCAGACAGACAGCCAGCCACCCAAGCAGGCAGACAGAGAGACATACATATTTTTGTATAGAAATACACATCCAAATAGACAGAACAGATGAGCAGTATATAATTTTCCAAGATACTCCAGATGATATTTGCCAGGCTCTTAAGCTTTCTAGCTATTTGTTGCGGTTGGAGTGACCAAAATTTGGGGAGTTCAAGTGACAAATCGTGGGAATTCCATCTGTGGATGTGAAGTAAGAAACAGCGGGCAAGCAGCACTTCTGGATTTCGAATGACAACACTTCGGCATTTTAATGACCAAAGTTTAAGGATTTGAAATGACGATATATGTGGATTTCAAAGAACAAAGTGAAGCAACTACTTGGGGATTTGAAGTAACAAACATGGTTTCTCAATGGTTTTTGAAGTGCTTATTGAAAAGGCAACGCTCGTGGATTTGAAGTAATGAACATTTGGTATGATGTCCAGGTATATATATATACGTATATATATATATGGAGCTTTTGCGCTGCACTGTCCAGTCATGGTTGGTTAATGGGATGATTTATAACAAACATCTGGGATAGCAACTTCCAGGCCTTCCTGGTAAGGTGAGGGGCCCATGGGCCCATCCCATGGTATCCCCCAACTTTTCTCGTTTTGGGGGCTCTAAAATATCATGTTAGATCCCATCACCCACAAGACACCTACTACAACCTAGTACAACCTGATATAACATGGTATCACCTAGTCTTTTTTCCAATTTTTGAAAATCAATGTATCAGTAGTTTCCCCCCTTTCGCATGTCAATCACATGACCAGGGAAGACCTGCGCTGGTGGGATGCGAGCTATCAGAGGGTGCGGTGGGTCACGGTGTTTCTGAAAGCGAAGCGGTGGAACCGAACGGGATGTCACGGTAACAGATGGACAAAAAATGGGGAATGAATGATTGTAACATATGGATATATATATGTACATGAATGTACATGAATGTACATATTGATACACACACACATATATATATAGGTATATATACATCAGATGTGGTAATATACAAAACTATGATCATATGTGGTATGATGGTAATTAATAATTTGGAATGGTAATAAATAGTTTGGAATCATTCCCAACTCCAGTACCAAAAATTGTTTCGATAATTGGGAATGATTGTGACATTTGGCCGAGCGGTTGATAGGAATTTCCATAATAATGAGTTTTGGCGTCATTTGGAAGCCATGGATAAAAGGATGCCCAACTTATATACCCTCTGGTAAACTAACAGTTTGCTATTGAAAATGACCATTGAAATAGTGGATTTACCCATTAAAAATGGGTGGATTTTCCATAGCTTTTGATGGTTGGAGACTGTCGACTGACACATGCACCGTGTTGAAACCCCTTGTTGGTTGACGATTGGTTGGCGGGTTTATACCCTCCAAAAAAGTGTTGATCATCACCATCCATGGGAAATCCTGTTCTTAACCAAGCAGTATTTCATTCAGAAGGCGTTTCACATCTATCGGGGGAGCCTCCATCCAGGTGGAGAAAGCTTGCAAGAATCGAACGGGCGGTTGTTCTGAGTATGACTATGAGAAGGGCGAAGAATGGGCAGCTGCTCGGTGATTAAGGAAAAAATGCCGCTGAAATCCATGGTGAAAAATGGTGAACATGGGCAAACAAGGGGTATCCCAAAATGATCATCTTAAATTTCTGAGGTGTTGAAAAATGGGTGGTCTTTTCTGTGGTCCAAGGAGTAGCCCAAATGAAGAGTGGACACTGGCCATTTTTCCCATTGGCCCAGACCCATGAAATGCCGTCAAAGGGTGTTGCTGAACCAATGGTCAAAAGGGATTCTTTGATGTCAACATGAATGGTTGAGCAGGCATAGATAGATCAATTCATAAATCACTAGATGACTAGAGGACTAGATGGATTGATGTGTGATTGACATGTGGATGGAGAGACAGATGGACAGACAGATGGACGGATGGATTAGCTGGATGGATTGATCATAGATACCTCCAGCCTCCATCGATCATCAAATCATCCACCTACTCATCTCACAGATCATCCACTAATTATCCACTAATCATCCACTTCTCATCCAGATGGCTGGAGATCTCTTTTTTTCTTCCCTCCATCGCCATGGCCGGTCTTGGCCCAGGCAGAGGCGGTCCTCTCCGCGGTTTTCGGGCAGACGGCCGCCTCCTTCTTTGAGCCTTTTGGGCAGAAACCAGGGCCCTGGGGATGACTGGGACCATAGAATGAGGCTGTTGAATGTTAGGGGGATGAGATTAGCCAGGACTTGTAGGACACCTAAGTATTACTTTAGTATACCACCATGGAAAAGTCGCCCTAAAATGAAAATGGGGGGGGCAGATGAATCTTCATGGTTCTTCATCCCTCCCTTTTTATCTACGCTAAACATTGATCAACGGTCAACATGGTCAATTCACCATCGCCATTCCGAAATCACCCGCGGTCTTCCTTGAGGTCCACAAATGGCTTCGGCAGCAGCTTGAGCTTCGTCATGGCCGGCAATGCGGGGATGCCAAGGGCCCAGGGCTGCCCAGACCTGCGCCAAGGGGCCAATCCAGTGGCAAATCCTGATTTGAAAACTATGCAAAATGGAGGCTATACCACGAATTTACCAAGAATGTTGGTCACTCAAAATTTGAGACTTGGAATGGTCACTTAATCCAAAATATTGAGAACATATTGAGATTATACTCAAAATTCATGGTCTATGTTTTACTGCCAAACTGCAGAACCATCCTATCGGACCTATCGTGAGATCATGACTCAGGATGAAGCGAGGAACCAAGCGATGTCTGGCTAAGTGCTTGCCATGGTCATGTTAGTTGGAGAAAAATCCATTAAACATGGGTATGCAATGGGATATTAATGGGAATATTTTGGGATGTACATATATATATGTATATGTATATGCATATGCATATTCATATGCATATGCATATAATATAATACAATACAATATAACATAATATAGTATAATATAACATGACATGACATGACATGACATGATATGACATGATAAGACATGGCATGATATGACATGACATGATATGATATGACATGACATGATATGATATGACATGACATGATATGTGATATATGATATGATATGATATGAATTGATATGATTCAATATAGTAATAATTAAACAAACAAACAAACAAATAAACAAATAAATAAATAAATAAATAAATAAGACAATAACTAAATATAATATACATATATAATTGTATACATACATAATTATATATCATAACCAACTATAATTCAAAGTGGGATTGCATACCCATATTGAGGGATAGTCATCAGTCCGTTAGTACGGACTTATATGCCCAGTGCAAGGATTCCTACTATGGGATGGATGACCATAAACCATATACAATCTTTTGGCCAGGCACATATGTTGATGGGTTACAATATCCAGTCAGCCCGCGATTGGGATTACAACCCCAACTATCAGTGGCTACAACCCATGATATACTTTGTGTGTATTTCAACCCTACTTTTTTAGAACATTATACAACAGCCATATAAACCCATTACTGTCAAAACCTCATTAAGCCCCATATGTGCCATGATCAAAACTGGGTAAATTGCCCGTGGGAGATGGTCATCAATCCATGGATTTCTGTATGAAGCTTCCCAGGGGATCAAAACCTACTGGGGAAGTGGAGATCAATCAATTTCAGCAAAGTGTTGACCGCTACCATTTCAGCCTCTGGTCATTCAATAGCTGTGCAAAACGGATCAACATGGCTCATTTATACATGACTTATGATGATAAATCTCGATTCAAAATGGTGTTTTTCCAGTTCGCAAGCCATGAAATGACCAATGGATAACCCCTAAATCATCATCAAAATACCGCGCTACCGCGCTTTGCGGAGGTTTGGACCCCCATTCCCCAGCATTTGCTGCTGAAGACCACGGACAACCCGCTCGGGAAGACGGAATTCGATCCGTTAATCCGTCGCTTTCTCAGCGGCGGAGAGGACATGGAGATGTTTTTGTGGCAGTTCGCGAGATGTTTTTGCAGCTTTTTGCGGGTGGGTTGAAAACCAAAGGTGCTTGATAAGAAGTTGAGTGGAATTCCAGACTATCCGTTTGGGCTAGCGAGTTGCGGTGATTGCCTTGCAGAAACGACTTGAAATCGCACAATTTATCACTTCCGTGTAGACAAGGGCCACTGCGAACAAATCGACCGTTGTTAAGCTGTTCACCCATTCTATTTGGTATGACATCCACATTTCCATGGGTAGAACATCCATGTACTGCAAATCCATTGCAGTGGAGTGACTGGAATGTTCTTGGCTAGATACTCAACCCTCTGACTTCCTAGTATTGTCGCATAGCTGAATATTTCAGCAAAACACCAGAGTAGTTGGACTATGCAATTATCATCATCATCATCATCATCATCATCTGCGGAATTTAACAGCCCCAGGGGATAAACAGTAGGTTGTCAACCAGATACCTTTCAAGATCTTAAAATGTGAGTTCTTATGATGTCACTCCCAGTGAAATCTCTGATCTGATCTTTTCCATAATCGCGGTGTGGCCCTTGAGCCAGATTCCGGGATGGAATTCATTATTCCATGGACAGCACATCCAGCCTTTGGCAGGATGAAAAACTGTTTTCTTTGCATCGGTTTGGGTTAGATCCAAGTCCTTCAGTTCTGTTCTCTCACAGCCTACTCACTTGGAAATTCTTGTCGACCCAAACGTTGACCTAATTAGCACCTTCTATGGTGCAAAAGTTGGTGTCAAGCAACTTCTTCTGTGTCACATGCAAAACAATGAGTGAACAGCAGTGAACGAAATTTGCAAATCAGTCCAAATTTAAAGTGGATCTAAGTGACAAATTCTGAAACTATGTCTCACTGTTCTTGGCTGAGATGGTCATTCGCTCAGACACTTGGCTTGTCTACTTTCCTGCTATCACTACGTTTCCACCACTTCTCAAGTGGCTCTTTCTGCAGTTCAGAACATTCAAGCAAACATTTGGTTCCACCAAATGTGAAGATTGCACAAAACCAAAAAAAAACGGAGAAATATGTGCAACTGATTATGGCTTCGCAAATTAAATCCGAGATCACAACTGCGAGACTCTCTGAACTGAGTGCACGGGCACAATCCAAATAAATCGCACTGCGCTAAGCACTATAGGTCAATGCTCGGATGCTTGTAGTTACATGTGGTTGCCGATGGCTTCTGAAGACAAGCAAATGGCATAAAGTCTAGAGTGTTGGAATCGGTTTCTCTCACATTTTCCACAACTGTTCTCAGTTGTGAGCAGCTTTCCCATCTGAAAATATTTCTGACTGTCGCAGTGGAGCACGCACTCCCAAGAAATTTAGTTCAAGCTCTCGTGACATCTGCTGCACTAAGTTTATGTCTACCGACGGATGCATCAACGATGCACAGACATTATCAAACTAAATCTCTATGGAATGAGATCCTCACTCTTTGCACTGCACCTTTGGATTCACAATTCCGGCAGGAATTGTGCAAAACTTGGCTTATCACTGTCCAAAAAATCAATACTCTTTCTCAGGAGAAAATTTCGTGTGTTCTGCACCAAAAATCAACTGTGCTTTGGCGTTTTTGATCAAGAAAATCATTTCAATTGGTGTTGAGCACCAAACGGCATATGCTTCATGAATTTAAGCCTAAGCGGCTGAGATTTTGGATCTGAAGCGCTGACACGATTGTTAACATGCACCTCTGTCCCAGATGGTGCATTATATTCACACCCCCTTTCGTGTCATGGCGGAGGATCTGCACACAAGGGAAAATTCGATGTACTGAAGTGCAAATGATTGCAAGTGTCAAAAGGCTGGAAGTCACATGGGATTGCATGAGTCTTAAAAGATCTGCAATGATGAGACTAAAGGAAAAATTGACATCTTTTGCCTTCGCTCGCCACTGCTTCTCAAATCTTCTCATATCCAACATGTCCCATGGCTATATAATTCAAAGGTTGGAATACTTTGCTGAAAACCTGTCACCTCATATAAACCCGAAGCTCACTAAGTTTCAGGCTGCCGAGATAGGAAATTCAGCCAATCTCTTTCGTGAAAATCGAAAATCCTCAGGTTGTTTCGGGTCCCACATCAGATAGGCGTTGTCTGGCCCATGCGGTCGGAAATCATAAAGCTCTTTCTCGAAAATGCTTTTCACAGAGGCGATGAGGCACCCACACAATTTCCAGGGATACCTTTCAGTGTTTGTCCAGTTGATCTCATTAAAATGCTTATGACGTCCATCATCGCAAGAGCAAACTGAAAAGCATGCCAAGGACTGCACAATCAAAGGATGGTTGCTGACAAATTGAAGAATCTTGCTGATCGGTTCTGCGTCAAGTTGACAATATTGGACAAACTGGCTATAAAGAGGTTGTTTACTACATTTCAACAGCTCCTGCAACTCAGTTCTGGTCCAGTATTGATTTCGCTTGGGAAGTTCAAATGACCAAAGGAGGACATGCGGTATCAGTTCAAAACAAAATCCAATCAACCTCAGAAATTCCTGCATGCTTTCTGCCTTCAAATCCTCATTCTTTGATAGGCGTTGGAGGCTACTACCTC